GCTGCACTGTGGCAGGATGCCTTTAGAAATGTTGCCACATTTTGGTTAAAGAAAACTTGGAAGTAACTAGGAAAGTATCTTGAAATATGCTTGCCTAAATAAATATATTTTGTATCAATATAATTGTAGATTTCAAATCAAGCTCTGGAAAATATTAGTTTGCTAAACTAACAAAAATGTGACTGCCTTGAAAGATAATTTCAAAATGGCTCAAAGAAAATGTGAAAGCCTTGACCTGGCACAACATTAGACAAGTTCTTGTCAAAATAAACACTTTGCAACGATGACCGAGCAGCTTTTCCCTCCCAAATATGTGACAGCATTTTCCTGCTCTGCTGCTTGATTTGGGTTTTCCTGCCTTGAGGGCCCACTGTGCGAGGGAAGGAAGGAAGGGAAAAAAAAGTGCTCGGGGCAGAAGAAGTATCTTGAAGTCATTTGTGCAGACTCTAATGATTTCCGCTAGTTTCCGTTCCGTTGTCATTGTCCACGTCCAGAGCTCCATCTGCGTATGCATAGGGCCAACTTGGGCTCACTCCTCCCCCACCCCACCATGCCGTTTTCCATTTCCCCCCACGAAATTAAGGTTTTCCCCTTATTGTTGGACATGCAACGACCTTCTTCTGCCTTCTATCGTCCATCGTCGTCAGATTGTGATGTTATTGTTACGAGTATTATTGTTGCGTGTCGGTGCGTCAGTTCATTGCGTTGTTTGTCCGCTGGCTTGATAAAGAAATTATTGTAATCTGGCTTGAATTTGAGCCCTGTCGCACTCTCGGAACTTAATCAAATTGTATGGCTAATGGAAATGAAGCGGTTATGCGCCGCACACACAACACTCCCGGCGGCAATTGCTGTTAATGAAATTGTCTGTCAAAATGCGTTCCACTGCGGCGCGATTCGTGTGAGCGTTTGCTGCCACTGCCTGCCAATGGCATTATGGATAATTGCTTATAATTCAACCAATTTGCAGTTCATAAAGCTGCATCAAACCAACACACCGTCACACAAAACGTTAGCCAAACAAATTCAATTTGTCAAGTGTCTGGAAAACAAAGCTGGAAAAAAAATGGAAAAACGAGGTGTAAATAATGTGAGAGCTCAATAATGAAACTCAATTAGTCCGATTTTTGTAGTTTTTTTTAGATCTTTTTTAGATTGCAATCAAAGCGGAAATGTGCCCAGTGTATTTGTTTTATTATAACCTCCAAGAGGTGACCTTTAAAATATGTAATTTGTGATATTTAATATTTATATGTAAGCCCATACTGTGAAGGAAAACTAATCTCCTTCTGACTATTAATGGCTTATTGATTAGATCACATTTAAGGAGCTGACTTGGATAGCAATGATAGCAATCACAAGTGTTTACCCGCAATTCAGGCTATTTTCTTCCATATAATTGAATTTTGTATTAACCATTAGGAGAGACATATACATTTATACATAAAACCGGCCTTAATCAAGGCAAATTGCTCTTGGACTCACCCTTTTCCAAGGTTGTTAAGTGATTTATGGCCCAGACACTAGTTATGGATACACATTGATTATAACGTGTCCAAGGAATCTATATATATTATAGCTGATTTTCGGTAGTATTCCTGCAACAAAGGCATGCAACACGTAAATTACCACGACAACAAAAGGCAGCCCATCAAACATGTAAACAAAACAATGCAACAAACAAACAAACAGCGACAACAATCAAACTCGTTTTGAGTGTTTCCCATAATCAAGAGACGTCGTGTGAATTTCATTTCGATTTTTACTCTTATTTTTGGGCTACAAACGGGTTTTGTTTCGTCTTTTGGGAGTATGTTATAAGTGTGTACTATATAAAGTACACTCTATACTCTTATTTTTTTTGTATGCTCCTCATTGCACTGCACTTAACTGCTGACTGCAAAGAGAGAGATGTTGTTGTTGCTGTAGCACTTGTTGTTTGCACAATATTTCACGCATACGTGCTTCTTCATAGCGTCAGGAGTGGGAGGTGTTTTTTTGTGGGTGGCTGGGTGGTCCAATGGATGGGTGGTTGGGTGGGTGGTGAAATGCACTCTGCCGTAAAATTGCGAGCAATTGGGTTTTTTTTTTTTTTGTATGTATGTTGGCTTAACGACAACAAAACTGAACACTTTGGGCAAAAGCGGCAGATTCTGGATTGTGTTCAGCATAGCAGAAAATTATGAGTTAATGGATTTTGTTTAATAGTTTTATTGTTTGTATTTGTTTGTATGTGTTTGTATTTGTTTCACTGCAGCTACCATTGTTACATGCCGAAAATGTGTTGACAACACCATGTTTTGCTGTGGCACTGACAGAGCATGAAAGTGTTGAATGTTGTCACCGCAAAAAGCATTCAGCAAACAATGACACGCTCGCTGGGCAAAATGCCTGCCCCACCTTCCTTCCTCTTGACAAATCAAGTTCAATGCTGGAGGGAAAGTTAAAAAAAAAGATATATATATATATATCTGTATATACCAGTTAAGGGAGAAAATGAAACAAGACAGGAGACTGACAGCGAGATTCGCTCCTTGGCTGCATAATCAATGTAATTAAATGCGGAAATTGTTTGGCGCAGTGAAAAACTGATTTGCCGCTTGACGTTAACTGTTCCATTGAAGCCCCATCAGCAGACCCAGACCCAGCCCCAAAACCATGGCCCCGTTTCCCCTTCATTTTGGCAACATCTCCGGCGTTGAATTTGAAACCGGCGACGTTGTCATTAGGCGAAACCAAAAGGGTTACAAATGGGTATTATGCCATGGCCAGATACTCTTTCACCCTAAAAATCTCTAGACTCTAAAAACCATTCAAATAATTTAAGGTTTAAAATTAAAGTAAAGGTTTTTGCTCTCTTTCATAAGCTCAAGAATATTTAAAACTCAGAGATTAATAAAAAAAATTATTCAAATAAAATAAAAGAAAGATGAGAGAGCCCTAGAAATACCTAAAGTACCAAGTTGAATTTCCCAGAAATTAATCTTCAAAGAATTTGCTATTCACCGGAAAGTAGGGTATCCAAAATAGCACATAAGAGCCCCGGGAAAACTCATCACTTATTTGGGAACAGGAACTGGAAAAGTGGAAAATGCGGAGTGAGCTTGGTGCCGTGCTGCCTGTCTGCCACGCATCGGGATGCGCAATTATTTAGCGTAATTGCTTTCAATACACCAAAATGTTCAACCACATAATTAGAAAATTACAAATTGAATGCTAGAAAATCAGCTCGATGGAGATGGAAATACTCAAAAAGAGAGGGAAATAGCAGGAGATTAAGTTTAATTTCGATATTATCGCTTAGAATGATCATTGGTTATATTCATTTTCATTCCTCGCTGTCTCTCTCTCTCTCTCTGATGAACATTTAAACTACATAAACCGAAATTGGAAAGCCAAAGCCAAAATCCTATTAAACGAGTCGCTGCTCAATAATAAAATTAAATTCGAACAATGACCATTGCATTGGTTTTCACCGGTGTGGAACTCGCTGAATATATTTATAAGTCGCCCGAGCTAATATTAATATTTGAATAAATTATATTGCACACAAGACCGGCTTATGGTGCGTTTTTGGTGTTCATTTCGGTTCAGAGTTTTAAAATATTTATTTGATTAATTTGCTCATTTCCCATGCACTCATGGCTTTTGTCCTGGCTCGGTTTATCTCGATGTTTACCTGATTGTTATTTTTTTGTATTTTTATTTTTTTGTGTTTGTTCTCAAATGCGGTTTGATATTGTAAAATAATTTATTTAAATTGAATTTCTTTGCGGTTGATTTGTGGTCAAGTGTAGCTCAATAGAACGGATAAATATAAATAAACCAACGATGTGGGTCAGCCGCCAGAGAAACGTACTGAAACCGAGTTGCAATTTCGTTTATGGCATTAAAAAACTGACTGCTGCTGCTGTGGTCCCTCAATGAACTTGAGATGGAGAGTCCTTTTCAGAGAGCTCCTTAGAGGAGTCCTCTATTATTTAATAAGTTTCTCATTCGCCTCATTCACTTATTTGCAGACAGAGCCTTTGAGATTCGTTGGGCGGGCTCTTTCGTTTATTTATTATCATCCATCCATCTATCCGGCGGGTGAAAAGCGAAATTGCATATTTGCTTTTATTATAATAAATGCCAATTTAGCCGGCTGCAATTCAATTACGTGAGCACCGTGAAAATTTCCCTTTTTTTTGTGGACCGTTGCTGTTGTTTTTCTGGCTTTTCCTACTGGCAAAACGTGCTGCCTGGGCGGCCTCATAATCTCTGGAAAACGTGAGCTTCGGCCTGGCCAACTAAATGGCTATCTGGATAGCCCTCGAGATATAATTTTTTGTTTTGTTTTAGTGTTTTTCAGCAATATACTTTATTGAAGGATTGCAGGTAGAAAAGTACAAGTAATGCCAGCGATGATTGCCGTGGCAAAGACGATGCGCAACAGTCGAGTGAATTGGATAATTGCGTATAATTTTAATGGATCGAACGAATGGACAAACTATCGATGTCTGTCTTGGTTTTCCTCTTTAAATCGCAATGTGTGTTAATGTGTGGCTTTTGATAGTGCCGCTGGCTGCATGGTCATCGTCAATATCGCATTGCATCTCATCCATCTCGGCATTCTGAATGCCTTTTGTTTTGGCCTACAACCTTTATGCATTATCTCTAAGGGGGCCACGTCATGTCGGCAGATGATATAATCAATCGTGGATAGCATCCACAAGGAGTTCGATTTTAAGGCCCCGGGAATGGCATTTAATTGGAATTCGCTATTCGCTCGACTGCCAATGTCTTGTGTTGACTTTCAATCTAATTTAATCCTAATGGCTTGTTGTCGTCGGTTAACAATTCATTTACTGCCCTCGCAGCCTTGATTATGCAAAGCGATTCGACTCGATTCGATTCGGTTCGATTTCTATTTCTATTTCCATTTGCCATTTGATATTGCAAGCAACGTTCATTTATCATCCCGGAATGCTAATCGAAATGTTTCTTCCCGTATTTTCCAGTTGACGAATTTACCAAAAGACGCTCTGTGACCTTCTGCCTGGCTGTTTGAATTTGGGTGAGTTGACGTTATTAGTTGATTGTTTGCCAGTTTGAATTGTTACGCCTATCAAGAGCCTACCACCGCCCACAAAAGCAAAAGCAAAAGCTGACACGTGTCATGTCTGTGCATCAGTCAGTCAGTCAGTCTGTCCGTCTATCATTTCGTCACTCTGTCTAGTCGCAGCGAGGGATTAGGATTTGCTTTCTCCGCAGGATGGCCAGATGTCCAGTGGTGCCCTGTCATCGGCATGCAAATTCCAGCCGAGCTCTATGACATTTGCATTTGCAACGCCCGCAATTAAATGCGTTGGGTTTGTGGGTGTTGTGTTGCAATGATGTTCCGTTGGTGGGCTGCAAAGCGTCATGGCAAAGTGTTGCGTGCTGCATTTTAAATGAATATTTTATGGCAACTTCCCGGCTCGCTGGCCCGCGCCTTAAATTATGCAATGCAAACGCAGGCCCAATGCGTGTCGCATTTTAATGGTCCCATTCCAGACACGAGAGTCGAAGACAAGTTCTCAACGGGATCGGTAGGGAGATCGGAAAATGGAAATGGAAATGAAAATGGCTGCGAGTGGATTTTTATGGCCCATATGTAATGGAATACATTTTTGAAAAATTTATGGATGGCACACTCGATGCAAATGCGTCTAGACTGTAGTGCGTTCAAGTTGGGAAAACTATTTGGGTTAGACTACGAAGTACCTCTTACTTAGAACAAGATAACATTATGTTAGGCAATATATTAGGTTAGATAGTTATAAATAATAAGTTTTTGAAGCTGTAACTCCAAGGATCTTTAAAGGGTAACTGTTTAAAAGACTTTGGAGAGATAATAGGCACCTAGATTGACATTCTAAAATGTTTTTAAAGGTTTGTTTAATTCAGTTTAAGTTTCTATTAACAATTATCGCTATTTAAGTTCATAGAATATAAATTTCCTTTCGATTTATCTCACCTTTCAACAAATCTCGAATATCCCTGGTGATGCCCTATACGACTCCGGTATGAAAAAGTCGTTTTTGGCCCAGAGCGAGAGAAAGATAGACAGCCAACAGGCAAATGCACTTTCCCCGGAATGTGTCAAGTGCGGAGAGCATAAGATGACTCGCATTGAGCTGCCCGGAGGATATATAGACGGATAGATAGATAGATAGATAGATATATAGACAGATAGCTGTAGAGACTTAGCTGCATGCCAGACATTCATCTCAATTTATCGTGCTTAGCCGCATATCCCGGCAGATCGAAGTGTCGTCTGCGTATATATATCAAAGTCTCAGCCAGGACACACACGCACAGGAGCATTGTGCGAGTGCGTTAGTGTGTTTGTGAACTGCAGTTGTCATTTGGAAGGAGCCATATACTCCTCCATATGGATTTCCTTTAGGATTCCCGTATCCATCCTAACCCGTTTCTCTTTGGCAAACAAGTAATTTCACTTGACATGCAATTTTTTGTGAGATTCCCTCCTTCCTTCCTTTCTTGGCACAAACAAAACAGATGTAACGCTGCATCGGATGGGAAGCCTTCTCCGTTCGTGTGTTTGTCCCCGACCACTTTTGATTATTTTGGCTGAAAAACCACATACAGCTTGTAGAAAGGCGAAAAGAAAAAAAAAAAGAAATGGAAAGTATTCCTATCTTGCCGCAACACATGCAGCTGAAAAATGTCAATGCCAAGAAGCGGGCAAAAAGAGGAGACAGGATGCGAGGACAGCAACTGGGGGAAAAAGGATTTCCCAAGTGGGGCTGGGAAAACTCCTGGCACAGAATTCAGAATGCATTTCTCTCTCGTCCCCTTTTTACTATTTTTTTTTTTTTGGAAAGCATTCATCATTAAAGCTTCTTATGCTGTGCTCCAAACATTTAACGAAATGTATTATTTATTCCACTCGCTTTATGACAGATCTACTGCTGATCCTTCCTGTCGGTTTGTTTTTTCTGTATTTTCCCCGAAAAGAAATATGCAACTAAACATAGTCAAAAAATCGTTTGAAAGCCATATTCCACTTCGTTGGCACCACGAATTTCCATCTGTGACTGCTGTTTGGTATTTGGTAAACATGAAATATCTGTGCTCCAAGATATTGCCGGATTTTTCTTCACATATTTTCCGCATTTTTTCCCAATGCCACTCAGCTGGAAGAAGTGCTAGAGCTTCAGCTCGTTTTTCGCCTCACTTTTCCGCCCACCATCAGCACTTAAACGTTTCACACATGCCGTCCATTTTCTTTTTGGACTCGGCTCGGTTTTTCCGCCTGCCCGCTCCTGTTGTTCCTTGTCCTGTTGCTGTTGCTGTGTTGTTTTTTTTTCTCCGGAATTATCCGCTTATGCTAATCTGTCTAACGTTTCAAATTTTCATGCTCTTCCTCTGTCTCTCTGCACACACACACACTGCTGGTCCGTTCCCCCCCTGTGAATAGACTCATCCACTCGGCAAAGAAAAGCGAGGAAAAATCGGCAGAGCGAACGCTCCACATCCACTTGATGACCCACTGGAGAGCAGGAGGAAGTGTCTCCTAGTTGGCCTCCTCGAGTCCGCCTCATTCAATGTCACTTGCCTCGAGGACGAGTGTAAGTAGCACTCCACAAATGTTTTCATCCGATTATGAAAAGGGCGCCGAGTTGACCGAGCAATGTCCTTCGCAATTCCCACCCACTCGCGTTGAGTTGCGTTGAGTTTTTGGGTTGAGTTCGGTTGAGTTGAGTTGCGTTTAGTTGCGTTTGCGTTGATGGCTTAAATTATTGTTCGGTTTGGCACTATCCGTAAGATAACAATTGTTTCCATCCCCCCCTGTTTGGATATTCTACTAACCCGCTAGACAGCCCGTGCATGAACGAAAATTTTGGGCAAGAGCTTTCGTCCTGCACTTACAAATCACGAGTATCTCCATCGTATCTCCATCGATCCAGGTTAAGTCGGGCGGCAGCGAAGTGGATTTAAGCCAACGGAATGCCAGCATCCGGAATCTCTTTGCTCCCACGCCCGGTCAGCTGGCCAAGAGGAAGGAAGCCCGTCAGAGGAGCCGCAGCCAGAGCAGCTTCTCGCTCCAGAGAGTCGGCCAGGAGGGTATTGGATTTGCCGCTAATGGGACTCCAGCAGGGAATGCCGAGCAACAGCAGCTGCATCGCTCCACCGGGAAGCTGGCCGGCTGGAGCAATGGCCATAGCTTCGATGATGATTACGACCGGCCAGCCGCCTTGGGCATAAATCAATTGCCAATGACTGCGAATCAATCGGCAGTGAGACAATACAATGGCCAGGACAATGCCGAGTCGCAGCCGAGTTCCAACAATGGCTGGAGTGCATTTGAATTGCCAATGAGGCCGAATCGTACTCGGAACCTGGCTCGGACTCGTTCTCCGGCCGAGGAGCACAAAAACTGGAGCTCAACGAGCCAGCTGGAAAATTTTATTAACAGCAACGAGCAGATGCAGCAGCAGCAGGACCCATACCCATACCAAAACCATCGCCAGGACATTTCTGTTGACTTTGGTAATGAAATGACCTGGGGCAAATCTGCTGAGAAATCGTTGCCATTGAATCACCTGAGCAGCACGAGCACGAGCAGCCCGAGACAAGGAGGATTTTCCCAGCAGGACGACTGGGATTTCAACTGGGGGCCAGAGTCAGAGCCCGGGCAGCGCGAAAGTTTGCACAGCCAAAGGTAAATTGACAAAGGGACCAAAAGGAAAGGCAAAAGGACATGCCAGCAAAGGCAACTAACCCCGGACTGCGTTTAGCTTTTCCATTTGCTTTCGCTTCTCCTACTGATTTCCCCATGCGATTCCTTAAACTCCCGCAATTTGCTCAAGGAGGATTGGTCCCAACCACGACCATGTAAATGAGGCAAGCGTGTGAGCCAGGCCAACATTGACACCCACGCTTTTGGCCGCTTGCAACAGTTTGGCCATCATTTGCATATCGAATTGCAGTGCGATTGATTGCCGTTCGATTGGGTCGATTGGTCGATTGTCGATAAGGCAAGCTGGCAACGTTTTCTTTTTTTTTTTTTTTTTGTAAGCAGCTCAAGTGCAAACCGCTCTAATAGCGTGCTGGCAACAACGAATCGATCAATAAGTCGGGTCTTTTGTTGCGATTCTCGTGCTGCACCGATGCGTGGCAGACCAGGTCACAGGCCGGGGCGGGGGGCAAGGCGAGGCAAGTCACCAGTCATGCCGCGGCAAGGGGAAGAATGAAAGCACCGAGCGTGTCATTTCAAGCTGTTGCACAATCGCTGATTTGCCCCAAGTCGAGCGGGTTACGCATTTGCTAACAACAAGATTACGAGACCAGGAACGGGGCAACCGGGGGGATCTCTCTTTCTCTCTCAATGTTCAATCATGCATTGCATATCCGGATAGCAATGGGTATTATATACTTAAAACTTCGATTCAAGTGCGGTAAAAATATATATAATATAATATATAATCCAGTTCGATGAACTGGGCGAGAGGGCTAATTGAGCTGGAGAAAGGTAGCGGTAAGGTATTTGTCAAGTTTTGATTGAAAGTGAGTTTGATTTATGGGGAAGGTAAACCGGTGGCGATAACCTAGTTGAGTTAAGAATGACCCAATTTCGAATTAATATATTTAATTGTTTGATTTAATGGTCTTAAACATACTTGGTAAAGTCATCAAGTCAATCAGTTTCTTCAGCAATTATGTCAATTAATGTTTTTAGCAGTATCAAATGTCTGGAATTGTGCAAATCAAATGAATATGCAATAAATACTGCAATGAGCATGCAAATTATTCAGATTCATGGTAAAAAGTCAACAGTTTGTTTACACAAAAATAGAAAAAGGTGAAAATATAAATATAAAGAGCGATCTGTTTTCTGAGAAAATAGTCCGACACCAATTAAAATCACATCAATTTTAGGCATGGCATTAACATGTCACAAAACCAAATATATAGTTTTATAAATAACACAACAAAATGTAATAAAATATAGATTGTTTATGAAAATTTTCAATTTGTTAGTACTTTTGTTTAGAAATTACTTGTCTTATAATCTTTCATCATGAAATTAGTTTTTTGACAAGAGAACTTTTATGTTTTATATAATCGATTTTTGGTAAAGAATAAAAAATGTAAGATACACAGATTTCCATACACAACAACTATGAAAAAGATTAAAGTACTTTTAACCTTCTGGAATATTTGCATATTGATGACAGGTAAATACTATTAAGTTTCAAGTTTTCTTTATGGAAAATAGTTTAGATTTAAGCTGTGCAAAATATTTGCATATTAACAGATAAGTGAATACTTCAGTTTTCCCTTTTCAAAAACCAAGTGGGGGAACTGCATTAAATTATTTTGCACCCAAGCTCATTTGAGTACATCTCGTTCCCATTTTTTGCTTTCTTTATTTTATTGCCAGGTCTCTGGTAAATGTCTGATTAATAAAAACAAAGCGCAAATTGGAAAGGAAATTGCTGTCACTCACGGGGGCCGCTGCTGATGTTGCTGTTGTCAGCAATTGCATTAAAACGATGCCGCTGATGTTGCTGTTGCTGTTGGTGTTGCTGTTGGTGTTGGTGTTGCTGTTGTTGTTGGTGTTGCTGTTGGTGTTGGTGTGGCTGTTGGTGTTGCTGTTGTTGTTGGTGTTACTGTTGCCCGTCTCTCTTAGTTGACTTCAGACCCAGGCCATCGACGATGCGGCGTTTAAATACACCGCATGAGTTTAATTTAATGCAACGCAGCAGTTTTATCAAGCAACAGCAACAACAAACTGCGACGACAGCAATTGCTGTTGACTTCACTTGCCATGTCATCCAGTGCTTATCGCTTCCCTCACCGGAAAATGATAGGGAAAAGGCGCGTGTGTGTGTGTGTGTGTGTGACGCTTTTCCACCACCTCGATGTTCCTTCCCCTCGTCCGGATTACGTATGTGCTTTGCATTTGACTGCCCATTGATGTTGCCAACGCGAGAGATGCCATTGTGTCGCACAGGCTGGGTGTCTCTTTAGCTCCTGAGCTCCTTGTGTGTCCTACACACACTCCGCCCATGTCTGCGTTTAACCCCTTTTTGGCCACGCCTGCGACTGTCAAATCATCTCGTCATGGATATGAGCAATTGTCGGGGATTCCCTGGGCCCATATGCCCTTTTCCATTCTTTCCCCACTGGTGCCAGCATAGAAAATTGGCATTGATATGTGATTTGATTGACATGGCTCCTTCTCAGACATTTTCGGCTGCCTTTGTTTGGCTCTGTCATTTTATTCCTATCCGCCCGGATCTCGTAATCAGCAATTTTTGCCTACCAACTGTAGAATTTGACGTTTAATTTGCGAGTTGGGTACGTCAGCATAGCATAGCATAGCACAGCAGAGTATATATGTCGGTAAAGGGCCGTCAATCAAAGGGTATTGCATTCAATTTGCAGCTTATACAGACATGGACGCAGTCTCGTTTATTTTGGCCACATTTAATGCAGTTACGGCCAGCGTTGCCAGGGGCAAATCAACATTTCGCCCACAATTTTTGCCGTCGTTGAGCGGTGTTGACTCTGCAACAGCAGTGGCAGCAACAAGCTTCGTTAACCGACAACGGCCACTTTGCAGGTCCGATTCCCAGTAACTAGCCCTAGCCCTTTTGCCAGATCCTATTCCACCGACCAGCTCTTCCTGTTACAGTCACAATTCAAATTCCGACTGGACGGGACTCGAAACAAACTCGCAACGAGCTGCATGAAAAATATGCTTCATGCAACGTGGCCCAGCAAAAACATGAACAATAAAAATGGAGACAATAAAATAGGACTACGACGGGGCAACTTGATGGCACCAGCAATAGCAACAGCAACAGCGACAGCAACAGAAAACAGAAACATTGGCAGCGATAACAGTGGCTGGCTTACAAAATAAAAAAATAAATGGCTGCTGTCGCATTTCCGGTGCCAGTCAAAATGGCGGATGCCGTGACGCCGCTGCCGACGCCGCTTTATGAATAACCCAGACACAAAATACAAACTAAAAAAGCGTCCCAAAGGCTCACATTTTCGAGGCTTGTTATGGTTAGCCAAGCGAGGTCGAGAAGAGTGTGGAGTTCGCTACTAAAATGAGCAGTCAATTGCGAAATTAGTTTAGCAGAAAAAACAACATTTATATTAATTGGCATTTTATCAAACCACTCGAACCTTGAAAAATAAAATTGCATTCAATATAAAAAAGGAAAAAATTCTGATAATGTTTAACTAATTAAAAATCAATACTTGATGTTATATTAATTCATGTTTGTGAAAATATAAATGAACCTTGACTGCAGTTTTTTAGGCTTTTTAATTAGCGAACCATTTCCGAACACATTATTTTGAGCGTTATCATAGATTTAAAATTTTAGTAAACAGCAATAAACATAAATTCAATCAATTAAAGTTCAAATTTGTGTATATTGATATTTTTATGGATATTCATCGAGCATGGAGAATATATGAAACTATTTTAAATAAATGAATAAAAATATGATTTATATTAATTTTCCATTTGAGATTGTATGTATATATAGTCCTCGTGCTAGCTTTTTCTTCCAGTGCCTTTGAAATTATTAAATTATAGTTGAATTGTGATTGCCTATCAATAGGAGACCATAACGCACTAACCTCCACCCTTGAATTTTCATTGGTTTTTAATGAAATTTTTCTTTTCTTTTTCAATGTTTTATTTTTTTTGCAGTTATCGACCGGCGGCGGCGCAGTCAACGCCGCTGGCAGAACGCCTGCAGCGTTTCCGATACCGCCAGCAATTGCAGCAGCAGCAACAGCAACAGGAGGAGGAGGAGCAACAAGGGCATATCACTGATATCAACGCTTACAATAGCCCCTATGCCAATCAGCTATCAGCTGAACAAATAGGCGTAGCCAATTCTTGGAGCCAATCAGTTGGTGGTTTCTATTCACTTGAGGCTGGGGAACCGGCTGAGCAGGAGTACCCTGACCCAGAACCAGAACCTAGAAGAGATCTAGAGCCAGATCGTGTGGTATATCCCGACTCGGAGCCGGAGGACGAGGAGGCAGCACCGCGAAAGCGTATTGTCATCCGACGGCGCATTGTGCGCAGCAGCAACGCCACCAAATCCGGAGGAAATACCACCTCTGAGGAAGCTAGGAGCACCACTGCCACCGAGGCTGCCAGGAGCACCACCACCGATAAGTCAGCTGCAGGTGGCTCTGGAAAAAATCTTGGCTGGCTGACCAGACTGCGTAGCTTTGGAGCCAGCAACAGGAAGAACTCCTTGGAGACTGCTGCAGCAGCAGCAGCAACATTATCACTTAGTGGTAGCAATCACTCCGCAGTAGACACCAGCAGCAGCATCAGCTGCAACAATAATCCAATCATGGCTGTCCTGCGTACCATGAAGCTAAAGGAGCGCCTGGTCATCAGCCTGGGCGCCACCTTGGTCCTGCTCACCCTGCTTCTCATCGTGGACGTACAGATGGACTTTGGAGTGGCCAATCGCCATCTGTTGCAGCAACAGCACCAGAAGATACGGCTGGGCAATGATTACGATGCCACGGGAGCTGGCGGCGGAGGTGGAATGTTGCACGAGTTCAAGCGCAAATTCCTGCAAAAGAGGTAAGTTTGCATTCTTGCCAAATATATATTACAAAAATCCTGCCATTAATCAATGATGCTCGATTTCTAAGTAGGGTTTGGTTTGGATTCAGACTGTGACAAAGGGTTACAAGGAAGTAACTATTCCTGCCAGTGCAGCTATTATTTTAGTAACTGATTTCCATAAAATTAATGGGCGAGTGTGACGCTTCCTTTTACTTAAAAGAGAACCCTCAGTAATCAAGACCAAATCTTTGCATTAGCTTTTTAGTTTTTAATATTTTAAATAAGAAGTAAAGCAAAGGAAGCTCTAAACTAGAAAGGAAGCTTGTTTTGGAGTAGCCGAAGCAGCTTAATATTGGATCAGGAAGCCGAAACTATATCGATCATAACTCAGCCAAAAAGGCATTAATTTCCATTCGGAAAGCTGTGCAATATTAGTTTTTATTAGGCTAACAATCCTACATACTTAATTTAAAATTGTTTATGCTGTTTATGCTGATCAAGAATATATATGATTAATGGGTTCGGAAATGACTCTTTCACTGCTTTATAAGCTTCTGACTGCAATTATAATTCTCTGCATAGGTATAAAAATTAAATTGATTAAATTTTACCTCACAGCCTGCATAAGTATCGTAATTATCGTAATTATTATTACATAAGATATTAACAAGAAAGGAAACTAACTTCGCGAAGTCAAAGTCTATACATCCTTTCAGTCTGTAATTGAATTATAAAATCGAATTCGCGTTCTTTGAATGGTGCAACACGGCGTATGAGTAATATTTGTTGCAGCTTAAGGGCGCATTTTCAGAGAACTCTCAGATCCGGTTTTGTCATTGGCTTCTTCATCTGCAGCTCGGAATTATAAATGAAAGCATTGATTAAAATGTATGAAATAATATCAGATGATTATTGGAGTGGGGCATCGTAATAACTTAACATACATAATAGGAAGGAAAGGTACCTTCGGGAAGTCAAAAATTGTTAAAAATTAGATGATGAAAGTCGATCATAACTTCGCCAAAAATATACTAAATTCACTTCAGAAAGCTTTCCTATCTTAGTTTTTATTTGGGTAATAAATCTGCATACTCAATTTAAAATGTAAAAAAAGTAAAATGTTTATCAAATTGTTGGCAACGATGTAAAATAAAATTTGCAAACAATTGGAAAAAATTTTTCTGCCAGACATAGCTGGATTGATTTGGCTGATCATGTTGATCAAGAATATATATTATTTATAGAGTCGGAAATGATTACTTCACTGCGTTTTCGAATTTCCAACTAAAAATTATAATACCCCGCAAGGGGTATAAAAAAAGTTAGTAAATCCGTATAATCATAAACAATATAGCTTTTTTTCTCTGGAGATTCTCACAAAGCCAACGAAAGCGTGTTGAAATTAAGTATTACAAACTCAAACCAAGAAGGTAACCTCTGGCCATTCCGAGGGATTAAAAATTATGCACAAATCGCAAACGGGGTCGGGCCATTGACTTGGGGCAAGCACCCCCCCTGGACATCAAAAAACAACCCCATACCGATTACCATCCCCCTCTGGCGACTGAACACGGCAGTGTACATAATTCAATTTAGCAGAAATGCAACAAAAGTTGCAATAAAACTTGGTTGGCCCCGGCATTAAAACGTAATTTGCTACAAAACATAAACCCCGGGCCAGGGCGAACTTCTTGGAAAACTACAACAAGGAGCCTGCCAGAAGGAGCAGGAAGAAGAAGCCGAAGCTGAAGCCGAAGCAGGAACAGGAATAGGAACAGGAACAAGAGCCGGGTTAATGCCGGGTGCCATAGAATATGTACAGAGCAAGTCGCTTTACCTTTGTATACTTCATTTTTTTTTGCGTTGCGTGTGGTAAGTGGGTGAAATTGGGTGTGGGTGGTGGGTGGTGGGTGGTGGGGTGTCGTCCGCCATTTCGCTGCGGCTGGCGGAAGCCGAGTAATAAAACATCAAAATGACGCAGCAAGGCGCAAGGGAAACTGTTAAGACCATCCCTCCAGGTGGGCAGGACCAACTCTCAGGTGCAGTAAACGAGCCTGGACCTATCCGCATCCCTTCAACCGCTACCCCTACGTTTCGTTTCAGTTCGGCTCCTTTCCATTCCCGGGAACATAAAACGCCAATGTTTAGCCAGTAAATATTTAATTAATTCATAAGCCGCCTGCCACCGCCCGTAAAATGAATGCCTTCGGAAACTGCTTTTCCCGCATTTGCTGCGTCTGAGGGATGGCATCCCTCCAAGGCACCCTCCAAGGCTCCAGCTATCTACTTATGCGCCCTGGCAAATGCAAAATTATGATGCCTCCATGCACTGAGTCGTGCAACGCGGCTGTGAAGCGTAATAAATTCTATTTAAGCATCAAATGTTTGCCTGCCTTCCTCCCCCATCTTGGGCGTAGAAGGAGGACGACACCCACCCATCACAGCTCCCTCGATTTCCTGTCTTGTCTCCTCCTGCTGCGCCTTATAATTTTTTAATTATTTCATTAAAAAAAACTGAAAACTGGTGGCAGCGTACTTGGCAATGCTGCAAATGTTCCCAAGAATCTCAAGGAAAACTCATTTTCCGTGATGATTCGCATTTTTGGGCTGTTATCAATCTGGATTTTATCGTATTTTCTTGGCAGGGAGTTTCGTAATCCTTTTTCAATTGAATTGAAATCGGTTGAAAGGGATTTTCTAAGATACCTTTTGTAGTCTTATTAAGAAATAGCATTTATTTTAAGGAATACTTGGCAGATACAATATATTCGTAAAGGTTGTATTCCGAATTATCAAAACGTATTCCTTTTAGTTAAAAATTTAAATATAACAGGTATTTTTATTGCATTTATTTGAAAAGCAAAAGAAATAAGATGTTATGGCCTTAGAAAATACTTAACAGAAATCCCATTAGAGCCCTTGTCAAGTACATTCATTAACCGAATGTCACAACTAACTCTATACCAGTGTCATCGTTTACGACTAGCATAAACTTCGAACTATGATCCTGTGGCCGCTTTGTTGTTGCTGTTATCCTTGTTGCAGGTGCCATTGCAGTTGCAGTTGACTGGTTAATTAACCGCAGCACATGGGGCAGCTTATGTGGGCAGCGTTACGCGCACCACGTGACACTTTAATGAGCAAAGTTTCGCGGGAGTGTAATTAAGTGCACGCCACATCGATCACCGGTAACGAGAACAACACTGTCCTTTCAGTACACACACATATTTAGGGCAGAATCAATTTTGAACGAGCGCCATAAATAAGGGAACAAAGCAAGGATACTTCCAGCAAGTGCTGCTCCATGCTCCTTGTTCGTTCCTCTTAGCTCAAAGGAAGATTTAAATACTTATTAGCCCATAAAGTGGCATTATGCGGCTGCCAATAAAACGCGTGAAATCTGCGTTAGAGCGCAAAATTCTTAATAAGCCCCGCGAGCGAGGTGGAAGCGGCTTTGCTGCCACACATATATTGTCTCATCCTTTAGCCCCTTGGGCGGTATGTTGACAGCTTCTCAGGTATTCAGGCATTCACCCATCTCGCCATCTTACCATTCTTGTCTCTTGGCCTCCTATCTTGCTGTCTTGGCTCAGACGTCGGCTGGCAACTGTTAATTGAAAAAGTTTTTGCATTCTCAGGCACATGTGCACACCTGTCTGACTGACGGATAAGACAAGGTGGGAGTTGGGTAGGAACAACGGGGCAGCTGGTCTAGATTCCATAGAGATTTCACAACTTTTGCAACAATTAAAAAAAAGAAATGTATAAAAACGACAATTTACCGAGAAATGTGAAATTTTTGAGATTTGGGTCTAATGATGTGCAGCTTGCAGCCGGCTGAAGAGATGTCATTTGGCTTAATGGTCACACAACTGCCACATAATTCCGGTCTCCTTCGCACTGGCTACAAGGATCTCACGACCAGGACCTCTGCATGCTAACGAGCCGGAGGGGCCAGGCCTGGTTATAACTCAAGCATTTCGCTAAGCGCTGCCAAGAGTCAAGGCTAGCAAAATGGATGCAACAAATTCTGAAACTTTAATTCATTTTTCAAGCACTCTTTTTGTCTGAAGCAGGCGCTGTCTAAACGGCAGCTGATTACCAGCACACACAAACAGTGGTTAGTCATAGGGGATTTTCATACTAAAATAGGGTATATATTTAGATACAAAAATGTTTAGGGAATTGAAAAGTAAACTACGTTTTTAGTTATGGAAATAAGAGAAGCATAACTTTTTAGGGAATCGTTGTACTTTGATTTGAATCTCTGATACTAAGTATCTTTGCTTAACACGAACTAAACAAGTAACTAAAAGCTGAAGGATATTTTTCCTGGCTTTCCCAACCATTTTCACCACTGTTCAGCCTGATGTGGAAAGTGGTTGGGCCTCGTTGAAGTACCTGCAATTCCAGTTTATTGCAGTCAAGTGAAGAGTCCCATGTGTTGTGTGTGTGTCTGAGTTTTGTGAATGGTTCTGAGGGTGGCTTCTGGCCTGGTGGTTGGTTTGTTCGAGCTCGTCTTAGATAAACGCAACTAAAAACTCGGGCTGACAAAGTTTTGTAGCTCACCTGGAAGTGCAAGTGCGTGTCTTTAGGAGCCTGGCCAGGGCGCACTTAGTTGCTCCAGCTCCTCCGACTGCTCGATGGCTGCCACTAAAAGGCAGTCGGGCTCTTGGCAGTTGCAATTAGCAAGGAGTGCCCCACCCATTGTCAAGTGCTCCCGACCCTCGGCGACCCTCGGGTGCCCGCTAATTATGGCGTTTCTTTCGCAAACTCACTTTCATGCAGCTCCTTTTAACACGGCTAAACTACTTTTCCCTTTTTATTCCAGCAACTCATCCGGCTCGAAGGAGGCATCCACACAGGCGGCGGCAAGTCAGAGCGGTGGGGCAACCAGTGGCCAGGAGGCGGCAGCCGGAGCCTCCGGTGGTGCTGCCGGACCCGGAACAGGCGCTAGCATCTCCACCCGGAAGCCCACCCCACACGATCGTTATGCGGATCTGCAAAAGCACCTGCTCAGCGACGAGTACTCGCATGTGATTGTGGACAACGCGCCGGATGTGGGACGGGACAATCCCACGCTAGCCGAGATGCTACATCGCAAGGCCAGGTGAGTGTGGTGCATAAAAACCAGGAGCTACAGAGGAAAAAAAAATTCAATTTCCCCTGGGCGGAAGGACATAATGCTTACAGTTTTTCTACCTGAGGCCCGGTGCCACTTTTGCCCGGGTACGTGGTAATTGATAGTAGAACGGGCGGCTTTACTGCCAACTGAAAGTGGAAAGGAAACTGGTCGAAGCGAGGGAGGGGAGGAGAAGTATAAGGCAGTTACAGCACTTTTCGGGCTTCAACGGAATTGAAATGATTTTTATTGAAATTTACGCTCCATTTACGTGACACATTTACGTTTTAGACATTTAACCACCCTCATCCCTTGAAGCCCAGATCTTTATGTGCATGTCTCTATCTGTCGCTGGTAAAAGTGTTGCCTGATTGTTGTTGCCTCAGGCAAGTGGTTTTTTTTCTATCGGATGAGGACCCTTCCTTCCCTGCCGATAACACTGATGAGAGTTTTGCCCTGTCTCAACGCGGCGTATGCGTAATTTCGTGCGAGCACAATCAAATAAAAGTGCAATAAAGAAATCAATGTGGATTTGCAGCACCCAACGCTTATCTCCGTTACCGTTTTGGGTGGAATCTTTCCCTTGTTGGTTTCGAGGTTCTTCCCCGCACACTTGAGGCAGCAATGAAATTTATTTCGTCGAGTTTTCATTTGATTTTCTTTGCTCGGTAATCAGCTTAGTTTTCTCCTCCGGCATCCTTGCCTCCCATCTTTCCCATTTCCGTATTTTCCCTTCCCCATCCTTTTGGCGGCACTCCTCCCTACTAGCGTTTTTCGTTTGCTTTTACAATGAACAGACACACCACTCGGCGGGGGAAAGCTTCTGTTCACTCGAAATCGTTTTGGCAGTTTTTATCAAAATTGAATACGTAGCGTATGAGTAATTTCATTTGCTTCACTAGTTGGCGAACATTGCCCCAGCTGAAGTTGCACAAAAATTGGTTCAGCACCAAAGTGGGGAAAAATCGAAAATGGGGGAAAATGCAAAGTCGCAAAAACTTGTCAAACTCAAGTTGTTGTTTCGGCTGAGGTGGGTGTGCCAGTGTGTTGGGCTAAAGGGACTGCCTGTTGGTCTGTTGTCTGAGTTGGCTAAGTGTGGGCGTTGGCATTAGCATAAAATGCTTGATTTTCTAATTTATAGCACATCACCGAAAAACCCCAGCCGGAAAGTTAGCTACTTCTTTTTTTTTTTGGTGCTGGTGTGTGTCGCACGTAGGAAAATGCAAATTTCATTAACAAGCGAAATTGCTGCCAGTAAATGTGCAAAGTAAAAAAGAGGGATTACACAGGAAAATGCATCAAGAAGTCGGGATGCTCTTGCAGGTGGAGTGCTAATTTTTTTTTTTACAAGTGTTTTCAAGCATTTTCGCGTCTTAAATTTTAAGGAAGTAAATGGAGTAGCTTACCATAAATATGATGATTTTTTGATTGTTTATATATAGATATATGAAAATTATATGAGTTTTAAATCACATATTTTGCCCGATTCAACTGCATATGAAATTCCCTTTATCCCCTTGTTGATTCTACGTAAAAAAAACCTATCAAGATCTGTGTGTTGGCTGAAATAGGATCACGTCAGAGGCTTCTACATTCTGTCTCCTGTCGCCTGTCGTCGGCTATATCTCATTAAAATTCAGTCCCTACATGCTCGACAATGTCTTTTATCTAACAGCCCAACCATCACTCCGCCTTCACCTGCGGTTTACTCAGCACTTTTTTGGCCCAAACCCCCCGCACAGTATGCAACTTGGCAGCCCAAAGAATCCAAGGACCTAAGGATGGCTGGAAAATGCTGGAAAATGCTGAAAAAATATATGTGACAAAATGCAAATGCGCCTAAAATTACCAGATGAGATATTGCCAACGGCTGCTGAGGAGTCAGGTGCAACGAGCGATGACTACAAAAGCCTGTCCGACATTAGCCTGGCTATATAATTACGGCCAAAGTTTTGCTGATTCAGCCAAAAATCCCAGGGTCGCGACACTGTCCTCCAACGGCTTGCGTTTAATTAGTATGACAAATTTTTAATTAGCCTGCAATTGCGACCGCGCTCAGGCGGCGACAGAAATCTTATTTCGAGCGAATTACACCCAGCTTAAAAAGGAGAAACACAAGAAGTTTTAGCAGCTGTCGGTCAGAATGAGAATGCCAACGAATCTGGGAAAAAGAAAATGCACTCAAAGAAGTTTTAATATCACAAAATTAGGAAATGTTTTATAGGGTTTACTCTAGCTTTTACCAGGATGTATTTAATATAAATATAGAAAAGTATTATATAGAAAAACCTATCGACACGTTTCTGAGTATTAAATACATCCACATTTTAATTTATTTCTTTAATAAATCACTTAAAGTATAGATAGAAAATTTACTTTAACTCATCTCCTAAATCTTTAATATTATGTCTCTAGGAAATTATTCAAGTGTTCCGGAGGATCTGGGAAAATGGGGAAATGGGAATCGGAGAGTGCGCTTAGTAATAAAAGACTATGCTCAATGTCGACGAGTGTGTAAAACTCCGAGAGCTTGCTGACATCCCGGCGAAGTTTCCACTTCCCATCGGATTTTCCCGGGTTTGGTTTTCTCAGATCCCAGCTGCAGTTGGTTTGCTGTCATTGGTTTTAATGTTCGCGCTCTTGCCGCTGAAGTTTCAGAGACCCGGCTACAATATAAGTTTAATTTCACTTTTTCCCCGCTCTCCCCCCGCCGCGAACTCGGCTCAAAAGGGTCCGTGCTTGCAGTCCGGGTCCGGGTCCGTCCATCTGGAGGATGGCTCCTCCTCCTCGTTGGTCTTGGCGGCCGCAAAATTTCACACGCACAAAGTTTTTACTCGTCTCCATCTAAGCAGCACTTTTGCGGCTCCGTGGTCGCAGCTGCCCGGGGAAAATGGGTAAGAAGGGAAACTTTACTGACATTTTCTTATGGCGAAATAATTGCGGGCTGCCGGGCTGCCAGGATGATGGGGGAAATGGTGGGGCGGGCAGGCTGAAAGACTGGCAGGCTTAAGCAAAGGCCAGGACATGCCGGCTGACAGCTGTTATTATAGTACCCACTTGGGCTGGGGCAGGATAATACCAGTACCAGGACCAGGAGCAGGACCAGGAGCAGCTCCAGCTCCAGCTCAGGGAACAATAGCAGCGGGAACAACAAGTGAAAGCCGGTCATAATCCCGAGGCACAAAGTTTGCCTCGTACGCGGAATTTCTGCACAGGTTGAGCAGCGCCAATCCTGTGGCAATTGAAATTTAATATTCCATTAATTAGTAATTCTTATCGAAGCGTAAAAGTTGGGTTTGGGTCTTGAAGTATCATGTTCCTTACGTTTACCTCAAAAGTAAGCCATTACAATCAATTAAAATACTTCAGAAAATTGAAGGGTTTGAAAGCCTTAGCTCAGAGGTAATACTTTAATAATTTGTTAAATTAATAATCATAGGAAACATAAAACTTAAATCACACCTTTGTTTACACTTTCATTCAAATAGCATTGCTATAATTTATATAACTATTACAAATTCATGTAATAATTTTGTAACTCTCTTTTTTTTTGCTTTCCTTATTACATAAATTAAGAATAAGTTTCCCGGGATGAAGATTACAGTATACAAAAGCCCCTGCTTTACAGTATCCTTTTGCATCTTTTCATGTTTACATTAAGTGCGATTCTGTAAAAGAATTTCAAGCGGTAAGCAAGGTTTTTATTCCTGGCCGCAATTCTGTTGGCCCAAGGACATTGGACTGGAAGCGCAGGACTTCGACTGAGTCCTGCCCTGCCCCTGTCCCCGTTTTGTCCTGTCAAATCGTCAAACCGAGCGCAATTAAGCTGATTAGTGAGCGTCATTCAGAGGAGCTTTTGCCTGCCGTCCCGCCGTCGCTGACATAAATAAATTTAATTTCCGCTAAACATAACTCAAAGTAAACTTTTGACGCAAGTAACCGCCAGGAACGTGCAACGTGTTGGGGCAGCTGGAAGGGATTGTGGGTTGAGGGGTCGAGGGGGTGGTGGGGTTTGGGATCTGCTGCTACCAATTATATGAAAATCTCTTTTTCAATTATTTTTGTTTTTTATCGTTTCTGTTTTTGCTGCGGTACGCTGTTGTCAACGTCGTTGAGTTGTCAACGCTTTGCATAACAAAGTTTTGCGCGGGCTTAGACCATGGGGCTACATTTGTAGGGAGGGGGTTGGTCGTTGGGTGTAGTGGGGTTGGGCCTTAAGGGGCGGCAGGTTGTAGGTGGGGCAGGCAGCTAGAGCTCGAGCGGTGGTTGGCTGTCACTGCGGTTGTCAGCGTTTGTTAGCCGCCATGTGTGCCAGTGTGTGTGTGTCCTGGGCCACGTGTCACGTGCGCTTTTGGCGTGCCACGTCACAGCCCCTGCCGCCCAGCATTTTCCGCATTTCCCTATTTATACCCCCCTACAGAGGCACACCTTCCCATCCCATCCCATCCCCCTCTCCGGTTTTACACATCGCCTTCACTTTCTCTTGTAATGCGATTTCTGGCTTTGTTGACTGGCGGCCGCTGCAACTGATTTACGTGACTCAATTACTAAAGGGATTTGAATTCCGTTCGACTGGTGGCCTTTTTTTTGCTGCTGTCTCCTTGTGTGCTTCCCTGCTAACCCAAAAAGTGCAACAGCTGGCCAAAGCGATTTGGAGGGGCATTTACAAGCCACGAACACAGGGCGAACTCAATTAGATTGTCACCGAAGGTTGCACACAATCTCAGCATTACATATTTTCTTTCGATTAAAGCTTAATTTCAAAGCATTATTGATTTATGTGAAATACATCTTAAAGCTTAATTACCATGGAGAATTCTTCGTTATATTATTTGTAGTATATGCCGCTTTCTTTTTGAATTCAAATAATGTCAATACAAAGCCATTTCTAAAGGTGATGACTTTACAGTCTTTGGCATTGATTCCTTGTGACTGGGGCCCACTGTACACAAGCCGTTGCTAACCGCAGAAACACACAATATATAGCCACTGTGGACAGCGGCCAGTGCTTAGTCAATGTCCAGATCGAGCTTCATCAATTACGCAGCTCCTGGTGCTGCTGCTCTTTCTGCTGCTGCTGTTGCTGCTGCTGTTGCTGCTGCTGCTGCTGCTGCTGCTGCTGCTGTTGCTGCTGCTGTTGCTGCTGCGGATTCTGTTGCCACACCGCAGTTGACAATTGAAACATGAGCACAAATTTGACTTTGCCTACATAGCTCCTTTGTTCCTTTAGCCTCTTGAAGGGAATATTTAGGGAATCAAAACGTGAGGGGATACAAAAAGATTATGCTCAAGATATTTGCTTTTTTGGTGTCTTATATACTTTTTTATAAAAGGGGTTATAAATATGCACTCCAGAGTATTCTATAAAAATAAATTCCTATAGAATTTTGCTTAATGTTACTGACTTATAAAAATAGCCAATCAAAACGAAACAATTTCAAGTTTGTGTATGTTTAGGTTTCCTTAGGTGTCTGATTCGATTTCGAACCTGCTGACTTGGAGTCCTGATAAGGCGAAATTTTTCCATGGAACTACCAAGTAGCACGTGAATCTGACTTGAACCCTCGTCAAGTGTTTTGGCCCTTCATTTGGACTGCGGTCGCCATCACGGCTCATGACAATTGTTGCCTGGTTTGTGAGCACTCTTATGCCGGCACTTTAAATTTAGCTGTCAGGCGGGCAGAAGGACGAAAGGACAACCGGACGGAGGAAGGAAAGGGGTTGGACTAAGCTCGGGCAGGAAGTTGTCACCGTTTCCATAAAACGCTGAAATATTGAAAGTCATTCGGGGCACAAGGAAGGCTGGCTGCCAGACATTTGTTTCCTTCCTGTGCACAAAGGACCAAGGCAATGGCAGCCAGAAGGGGTTGTGGCACGAGGGCAATCCGGAGGAGCTAGGCACCATAAAAAGCGTTAAGCGTTGAAGTATAACAGACGTCAGCGGGCAAATTATGACTGAGCAGGAACAGGAGTAGGAGTGGTAGCCGTCTCTCGTCCTCGAAGGACAATGAGTTATGTAGATGCCATTGAGAGCTGCCATGGGGGTAGAAACGGATATGACTTCATTATCGTGATAAACTCGGTGCACAATGGAGCAGACATTGCTGCTCATTCCTCACTTTTTCGACTGACCAACAGCGACGTGGCATCTAGGATTCCCCGTATAGAGTTTTGCATTTCAATTTGTCACGACTGCTGGCGGAATAAACTGTCATTTGCTGCTTGCATTGCATCGGTCGATGTAAACGGCTAACGGGAAAGCTAATGCCAAAAGGAGAGCACTTTGCAGCTTAAATTCTGGCAGGACTCTTAGTGCTTAACCAGCACAAATTGGACTAAATCCGGAATCCGAAAGCGTAACTGCAAGAGCTTAAGACAAAAGCATTTGCCATGTGAGCGGCACATGTCAAAGGGAGACCAAAGCATAATCGGAGAGGAAAAGATATTTTCCGACAATTGCCAGTGTCTGGCAGCAACAGGGAAAATCGACCACCGAAGATTACAGCTGATGTGTGCAAGAGCAGCTCGAGCAACAGCTCGGGCAGAAGGCGGATGTCTTGGCATTTGCAAACCAAATTGTCATGACAGCGGTGGAAAAAGTCGAGCAGAGGAAAGCGGGGCATTGCTTTGACAAATCAATGTGAGAAATCTTGATATGCAGCCCCAAGCCATAGCATACTTATGAGGGAGCCCCAAAGACCCTTGAGGCATTGGTACACTTGGAGAATATAAACCCATAAATGTATATGTTTTGACCTGTAAGAATACATTTAAAATACACATTTACCAAATTCATCTCTCAATAAAATATACAAAATAAGAGAAAATGTTATTATAATAATAATAAGTATAATATGACTTACTTAGATAGTGAAAATGTTGCCAAGGTTTAGATTAAAGGACTTATAAGGTACAAGGTGCGTTAGATCACCCATTTTCCTTCTGGATTTTCAAAGCGACTTCAAGAGAGCTCTGAAGCCAACTCACACATGGAGTTACGCATCTTGAAGCTCATCCCACCTTTGCAGTAACACTTTACTCTGTAAAAATATTGAATGACCATTTTTATTTCAAGTGCAGTTACTAGCAACTGGAATGTCCTTATGGCCTTCCTATTTTTTTGTAGCCTGCAAACGTCAGCTGGCTCATGGCTGTGATGCTCGATTTTTACTTACATTTCTATCATTTTGTTGCCCTTTTTTTTGCCTTTTGCGACTGCGACTCTATATCTGTATCCGAACTTCCATCTCTTTGCAGTGCAAATGCCAGCAATTTGGAGCGCTTCCAATTGCGCATCACGAAGAAGGAGCTGTATGGCGAACAGGACACTCTGGTGGATGCGGTGCTACGTGACATGATCAAGCTGCCAATACAGCATGTTGGTAAGACAGTCTGCTTCCGCTGCAATTGTGGGGATTGTAAAGTCATAAATACCGGGCCAAGTTTGTTGTACACGGCCTCAGGTCCTGGTGTCCTGCGGGCTCAGCTGCACATTAAACTCAATTATGTAGAGCTTGGCGGCTGGTATTATTGAGGTGCCGCTTCGAAACTATTTCCATTGCAAAAGTTTTTCCAGCGCATTCATTAAACTCATAATTTATTAATAATAAACTTTTAACAGCGCGCGCGAGCGTCGAGCAACAAAAAGAAAACTCATTTGCAGTTAGTGGATGCAACGGGGGCAGTTGGGGAGATGGGGTTGCAACAATGACACTGTGGCAGGATAATTGCAACAACTTTGGCTTTTGTAGGGCTGGCATTTATCACGTATACGCCGCGTATACAAGCAACTTCTCCGCAACACATACATGCCTTGGGATTTAGACCAACTTTTCAAGACATAATTCATAAGTAATACTGGGTTAGCCCCAAACTCTCTCTATTTCCCTTACCCTTTGCCTGCCTTTTGTTTTCATTTGTTTGTTTTCAAATAAATTTTAATGAAATGCGGTCTGTGTGCGGCAGGATATTTGGTTTTATTTTCGTTTACGGTCAGTCTGTTTGTCCGTTTGTGTAATGATCAAACTATGCACTTCACTTCACAATCGTAAACCAGGCCAAGATGGTTTTTGTTTTTTCGGGCTCCTTTGTGCGCCATATTTGTGTGAAAACTGTGCTTCTTTTTGTGCAAAAGTCCGGCCCTTTGAATGCGTTTTAATTGGTATTTAGTCGAGTGTAATTTGTTTATGGAATCCAGACCGGCCGGCGATCGTTGGAGTGCGAATTCCATGAATTCGGCTTTTGCTTCAATTAATTTCGAGTGCCTGATTAATTTACATTCATTTCCCCTTATGTCTTTCGCAGTGCAAAAGGAGGGCGGCACCCAGCTGAAATTGATCATCGAGTATCCCAACGATATCAAGGCCTTAATGAAGCCGATGCGGTAAGTTGAGTTTTATTTTTATTTTGCCCATCGATGGGAGTCCAAGGAAGATTTCGCAGTCTGTCACCGCTTAATGCATTTGTCCTGGCCACGCATCCGCATCCGATTTTCGCCGTAATGAATGCAACTTTTGCCCACTTGTCGACAACACTTTTCGCGTAGCTGAGTAAATAAAATTCCGCATTTTTTATTCGCTGACTTTCCTGCGGCCTGTCGATGGAAATTCCACATCCATTGCTGCCGTTTTGTGGTGGCACTTCAAGCTGCTGGCGAATTTAAAACATTCATGCACTTTTTAATGAGATTTAAACGCGTTGGCTTGGTCAATGTGCTGGTTTTCCCACCATCCCAGGAGGAGAAGCCAGAGGAGAAGCAGCTGGTGCAAAGTGCAAAGTGTCCTTATAATGCCATTCATTTGCAATTTAAATGAAAGCGTTTTTTATTTTTCAAATATATGTATGTATTTTTTTTAAATTGCACTCCCTTTCGTGCTGCCGTGTAAGTAATTAAGCTGGCACGTAGCAATGCTGGTTGGCACCTTCTCCGTCTCCAGTTCCAAAGTGGCCCACGCAAATGCATTAAGCTGGTGACAGAAGCCCGCAGTTTCTATTCATTTTTTTTTTTTGCTCATTTTCCCCCATTTTCCTCATTTCATTATGTTGCATTTGCAATCACCTTTCCGCAGGTTTCCGAGGGACCAGCAAACGCTGCCCAACCATTTCTACTTCACGGACTATGAGCGCCACAACGCCGAGATTGCCGCCTTCCACCTGGACAGGTGAGTGTCGTGTCTCGTCTCTTTCACCTGCTGAAATTCAACCGGAGGCATTCAACTGCACAAGAATTCGAATTCCGTTCGATTGAATTAAATCTGCACGCGGCGTCGTGTAAATGTCCAGCATACTTTTATTTATTTTTAATTTAATTTCCAATTATACGTAAATATTTATGGTGAGCGTTTCATGGATTTCCACCTCCACCGCAACAACAAAAACAGATGGGGAATATATATATATATATATTTATATCTATAGTATATGATGTCTGGCAAAATCAATTTGAAATATTCAATTAGGCAAACACGAACAACACAGGCATTCAGTTGGAGTTCGATGGGGTTATCAGGGTTTTTGGTTTGAAGAATTACCTGAATTTAATTTAAAACAAGAAAGGAAGCTAACTTCGGCACGCCGAAGTTTATATACCTTTGCAGATAGAACTTCTATGAATAAAAAACCATACAATATAAATGATATATATTTGTGTTAAAAAACAATGAAGTAATACCTGCTTTCATTGTATTCACCTATACATATTATATTTTCAGTTTTACATTCAAAGATTTGCATTTTTCCTCCACATCAAACGATCGTTTGTATGGCACCTATATGATATAGTCGTCCGATTTTCATGAAATTTACCACAAAATTTAAGACTTAAATTAAATGCCTATACCTAAAATTTGATGAAAATCAGTTGAAAACTGAAAAGGTTATAAATTTAATTGTATTAATTTCTCGATCGTTCCTATGGGAGCTATATGATATAGTAGTCCGATTTTCATAAAATTTTATGCAAAATTGTAGAGTATAGTAAAATGGCTATATCTCAAATTTGATCAAATTCTATTGAAAACTGAAAAAGTTAAAAATTTTTTTGTAAAAATTTTCCGATCATTCCTATGGCAGCTATATGATATAGTCGTCCGATCCGGCCCGTTCAGACATATATACGAGTGAGAGTATATAGAAGGCTAACTACAAAGTTTCATTCAGATAGCTTCAAAACTGAGAGACTAGTTTGCGTAGAAACGGACAGACGGACAGACGGACAGACGGACAGAAGGACAGACGGACAGACGAACAGACGGACAGACGGACATGGCTAGATCGACTCGGCTGTTGATCCTGATCAAGAATATATATACTTTATATAGCCGGAGGTGCCTCCTTCACTGCGTTGCAAACTTCTGACTGAAATTATAATACCCTGCAAGGGTATAAAAATATATATTCAGAATATTGCCTACCCAATAACAGGCATTCTTTTGACCGATTTCGCGGTTACATTACCCTGTAAAAAAAAGCTTAAAAATGTATATATATTTCACATTTATGACCTTTTTGAAAGTTATACGATTTTTTCTTTATTTTTATGTGCTTGACAAAGCAATCAAATTAACCAATTTGTCCGGGTCCCAGGGCCCAACATTCGGCATTCAAATTTATAACACTTTTGACCAATTTGAATGCCTGACCCTCTGCGATTAGAATCCCAATAATCCTCTTCACAACACAAACAAACACACACATTTTGCAGCCAGGACACATGGTGAGGTCAGACCGCAGTCAATTTATGTTCATTATTTATGATGGCAGGACGAATAAAATGTATAAAAAATTTACATACACTTGGCCTCGCATGAAGGCCAAGGCCAAATGGCGCCATTAAATGATATTTAAGAATATTTTTCAAGCCTTTCGAGGGGGCGGTCATGTAAATGATGTGGCCACATAACTTTCATTCCACTGGCAGATATACATATATCTATCTGTGCCCTTCTCATGGCTAATTAACCCGGCCAAGAGGCCAGGACATGTTCTGCCAGTAATTCAAGCTGGAATATTGTCTGCATAGTTAGCAGCTGTTTGCGTTTGACAAAACTTTGACAGCCGACAGACGACAGCCAGGTTAATTGCCAGTAGTCTCTACCCACCCCCAAAAGGGGGGGATTTTTGAGTTTAGATAAGGCGTCATAACTTGTGTAATTGTTGTGGCTGCCATACGCAGCACGCACAACCTCCCACTTACTCCCCCTCAAATAACTTGGCCGGACAGTCCTGGCCAAAAACTTGGCCCTGTCAGCTCTAATGGAGTTTTTGGCCAGCGAGTGATGGAGTGGCCACGGGGGCGGTGGGCGGTGGGCTGATATAAATTTATCGCATTTTCCCCACTGACCCCGGGCTGCCGCCGAACTCTCCCCCCTCAGACAATGAACATTCTTCATGTTGCCAAATAATTTCGATAATATTTTCTGGTCAGTCTGGACACCACACCCATCCGACCATAAATCTCATGATTTTGTGTGTGTTTGTGTGGGGATTACATTAAACCCTTTAAGATCCAATAAGATTAACCGTGACTCAACGGAAAGATGACTGGAAAACTTTGCCAGGAGAAAATCGATGTATCTACGGGAGGCGGTGTCGATTTGATTGATGAAAATTTTGGTAAAAAAAAAAACCGGTCTTGGGTTTCACTCAATTAGCTCAATTGTTATGCGGTTGGGTTTCCTTAAATAAACAAAGAATTATTTTCCTTATTGTATGTTTTTTTTTTCTCCTTGCCGTTTGTTACCCTGACAACAATCCACAAATATTTTCCTTATTCTTGATTACGCATTCCGATTCACACGCCGCCATTAAAAGAAAAGTTTCCTTGGTGTATATTTATATGGGACACTGAGGGAAAAGTTCTGAAAACATTAGGAGAATGAATATATAAAATACTTTGAATAATAACAAATAAAACAGAGAGTTAAGGCCTAAATATAAAGTTATTTAAACAGAAAGAGTGGGTTAGGAAAAGATTCTCAGATGTATTTTTCAAGTGTAAAACATTTTCTTTGCTTGGCGTTTTGTTAACCGCTCCCTCTCCAATTTTAGGATACTGGGATTCCGTCGTGCCATGCCCGTCGCCGGTCGAACACTGAACATTACGACCGAAATTTATCAACTGGCCGAGGAGAATTTATTGAAGACGTTCTTTGTTTCGCCATCGCTGAATTTATGCTTCCATGGCAAGTGCTCGTACTATTGTGACACCTCGCATGCCATTTGTGGCAGTCCGGATATGCTGGAGGGTTCCTTTGCCGCCTTTCTGCCCAGCTTTGAGTCCGGCAATCGCAAGGTACGTACATATGTATCCTGGGGTCACAGGACCCTCCACCTCCATACGCAGCACGCATTGGGATTGGGATTGGGATTGAGGATGCCCTGAAATGGGACTCCATGTCGTGTCTGTGCGGACCAGGCTAAGTGGTTTTTGATTAATGCACGAGCGGCTTCAACACTGCCTCGGATTACAATTTATGCTCTGGCTGCTTCTTCGCTTTCATTACCAATTTCGGGCGCCTAACAAATCACTTTATTTAGTTAGTCCTTAAGCTCTCCCCCCTATATGTGTGTGTATTTGTGTTTGTGTGTGGCAACAGGTGAGAGCGGTGAAAAGTGGTCACTGGGCAGGTCCTAGAACTACCTGCATAAGCTCTCTGCCCGGTGAACTCACTTAAAGAGGGAATTTTTAAAAAGCCCAGCTCGGAACGAACTCACTTTTAATTTGCATAATTTTTTTTGTTTTATATGCCTTTTATCCTTTGTTTGTTTGTCGGGACTCGTTCGCTACCGCTTACCTCGGCCCTCCAGTGAGCCACTTCATTCGAATTTCATTCATTCATTCGTTCGTTTGGTCGTTGAATTAAGAGCAGAAATATTGTATCAGTTCTTCAGCGTCTGGTAAAGCGTAAAATGGAATATAAAATGCAGGAGCCCGGGACTCGGTCGCTGGCGTTAATAAATTCTAGAGTCCACTCCATCAACATGAAAAAGTATAGCGGGGGGCAGTGGGTGGGTGGGTGTAAAAAAAGGGACAACGGCAACAGCTTTTAAATGCAAATTACCGAAAAATTAAAGCCCCAGTCCCAGCCTTAGTCCCTTGTCCCTTGTCCTTGTCCAGACCAGCCAAGTCCAGTCCACTTCAGGACTCTGGCTGTCTCAGTTTTGCGAGGGCTATAAAAAGGGTTCATCTGCAGACCCTTCTCCACCCGGCCAGAATCAGTTTCCTCACAGATTTGCCGCAGCACAGGCATTTTATTTTTAGTCTATTTTATACATAGATATATATATATTTTTTTAGTATCCTTACCCCGAAGCCTCAAAGGAATAATTCTCTTTATTTCCCCCCCCCCCACTTCTTTTATTTTTTTGCGGCTCGCTCTCCAAACAGTTTACAAGTAGAAAATGGTTAAGTGTATACTTGAGATTTGGCGTAAGGCAAAACTGTAAATTATGCACAAGAGATCATTTTTCTTTCTTCATTTCCCCAGTCCCAGTTTTTCCTTTTTCGTAGCACTTTCCGCCATTCCCTAGCCCTTTTCCTTTTTTCCGGCCCAGCCGAGTTCTATTTTCCCTGGCTGTGTGAGCGAGCTGTAAACAACGAGTAACACTTTTTTTCTTTTTCGTAACTGAACAGAATTTTAATTAAGTTGCAAATTTGATTTGCACGCTTGTTAAATGCTTTGGGAATCCAACTGAATGGCATAGATTGAAAGGATATCCAGAAATAGAAGGACACGGTACAGGATGAACTGAAAGTGGGTCGATTTGATATGTTGATGGACAATTAATTGTGTGAATTAAGAGAATGAATTATTTTAAATTGAGTGATTTGTTTTTTTATTCGTAAAAACCATTAAAGAAACATTCCTTGGCATACTTTTAAGCTCCATTAAATTTAATTTTACTAGAATTTTTAATATCATTTAATAATCATTACATTACAGACATTATATAACCAAAATAAACCAAAACTTCACAAATGAAACATCTTAACCTAAAGCCACGTATTTGATTTGAATTGCTGTCATTAGTATTGATTTCATTTGGCATTCAAAGGCGTTAATTGCTTTGAGGGCCAAGTTAATAAGTAAGCAGGTGGAATAATTTATAGACTCTCTAGTTGATATGGAAGTCATTTCATCTTAAAGCACTTTCTTGGGCTCTGCACAAATTTATGAAATGCATTTAACGCGCAGCTAACAAAAATTGCAAATTGCTTGCCTCATATTCTATCTATTTTCTTTTCGCCTCTCATGCCATTTTTCCCGCTGGTCTTATAAAATTTAATTTTGCTTGATTTATGCATTTTTTGTTTTTCGTTTTTCTTTTATTTTTTTACTTGCTTGCGACTAAGCTTAGGGGAAAAGGGCAGCTCAAAGGGGGTGGGTTGTTGGGGTCGCCATGCCAACGCCAACTTACCTGAGTTTTCTGCTTTATGTTTGCTTCCTTTACTTTTTTTTCACTCGTAGTTTGTTGCTTTTCCCTCAGTTTGCATTTTTCCGCTCGCTCTGTGTGTGTGTGCCTCGCTTTTCCTGGCCCCCTGCCTAGCCCCTGCTTCCGGTCATTACACCCTACGTTTGGAGGTAGCTTCCCCCCACCCCGCTCAGCATAAAACGCCCAACGCGCCGAGCTTTTATTATGCATTTTTGTGTAACGCCCTGACCCCTGACCCCTTACCCAGCACTCTTATTTTTAATTCTTTTATATATTTCACATATATACATATATATATTCTTTTTGTTTGCTGCGCCCGCTGCTCCTGTTCCTGTTCCTGTTCCTGTTCTTGTCGCTGTTGTTGTTGCTATTGTTGACCCCCGAACCCGAAACCTCACCTGAAACCGCGAAATGCCTTTGACCCCCCCAAAAAAAAACCCAGGGACGAAAGGTAAGTTGCGGTGGCCGCAAGTGAAGCGGGGGCAAAAGTTGGGGGCATAACTTTTATTGCCTGTGCCTTGGCCAGTGCGCTTCGCAAATAATTTAATTTAAGCAAAATTAATTTAGCCTGCAGTTGGAAGAATTCGCGAGAGAAGCAGCCATAAAGCAAAAATTAATATTCTTGTACATTTCAAACCGAGACAGGCTTTGGCCTGCTCCTGGCCTGGCTCGTACAATTCAGTTAGCCGCATTCCTTACCCGTATTCCTTTCCGTTTGCTATTTGCCTCCAGAAATGGGAATTGATTTCCGTCCAACCCTCTTGTCTTGTCTTTCTTTTCACCCCAAAAACAGCTGTGGCGGCATCCCTGGCGACGCTCCTACCACAAAAGGAAGAAGGCCCAGTGGGAGACAGATGCCAATTATTGTGCCCTGGTATGTATTCCAAAGTCCTTTTGGCCCTCCTACCTCCGGCTCCCCCATCACTGCGGTTTCTTTTATTTAATTTGCATTTAAACTCGATTGAAATGCAAATGTTTTTATTGTGGCCGCTGGGAGCGAAGGAGAGGAGTCGGTTGGGCAGATGTAACTGAAGCTGTAGCAGACTTAATTAAGACAGCGATGGCCCGAGAAACTGCAGCTTAATTTTGCATTTGATTTTCCCTTCCTTACCGCACTCCCTTTTTACTACCCACACTCATTGCAATATCCACTTAGGTCCGGGACATTCCGCCCTACGACGAGGGCAGGCGGCTGTACGACCTCATGGACATGGCCGTCTTTGATTTTCTCACTGGCAACATGGATCGTCATCATTATGAGACATTCAAGTGAGTATATTGGGTCGGGCTGAGCCGGATGTGTGCACCTGGGTGGCTCCCATGTCCATGTCCTTGGCATGGCAACTAATGCGATCGGTTTATTTCCGCACACATGGCTTTTGTTGGCTTCCTGCCGCCGCCGATGGCACGTTGCGCTATGCGTTACGTATGCGCCCCGTGTGCGCCTAAGCGCCTGCATTTGCCAGGGATATGCCAGCACCTGAATGCCAAGCAGCCGCCATTTCAAGAGAGAGATTCGTGTAGAGGCCAGGACCAGGACCAGGACCAAGACCAGATGCAGATGCAGCAGCTGGAAAGATATTTCCAGACCGCCTGCAAAAGGTTGCGAAACATCTCAGCCGTAGTAAGCCTCTGCCTCATCGATGCCGTTCCGTACTTTGGATTTGGCTTTTCGAGCCAAAACCTCCTTGGCCCGGCTGCCTGGCTGCCTGCTAAATTGTTTGTTATGCAAAAGCGTTTGTTTGGCTTACGGCGATGTCATCGCCCGGCACTTGCCACACACCTGCCTCTGCCTCTGGTCTGGCTCCTGATTTCAGCCTCACCTTACCTGGCAATTATGCCTTCTTTTGGCGCTTGGGGGAAAAAAGCAGGCTCCAGCTGATTGCCACATTCACTCTAATTTCGAAACGGGCTTTCGTTTGCTTTACACAGGGTCTATGGCAACGAGACGTTCCCCCTGCATTTGGACCATGGCCGTGGCTTTGGGCGTCCCTATCACGATGAGCTCTCCATTTTGGCGCCGGTGCTGCAATGCTGCCTCATTCGCAAGTCAACGCTCGTTAAGCTGCTGGAGTGAGTATAAGAACATTTAAGGAACCTAAATTAAAGAAATATACAGAAACATTGCAATTATTTCTACTTAATCCTTAAATTCCTTCATGTTTTTGCTAACACCAACCAGGTTTCACAATGGCCCCAAGACGCTATCGCAGCTGATGAGCGAGTCGTTGAGCCAGGATCCCGTCAGTCCTGTGCTGTGGCAGCCACATTTGGAGGCACTGGACCGCCGGACCGGCATCATATTGCAAAGCATACGGGATTGCATCAAGCGAAATCCACCGGGCGATGTGGATGCATCCGAGGCGGATCTCTCCTCGTAGCAATGAGGAGAGGAGCGGAGAGGAGAGGAGAGCAAGAGTGGAACAATAAATCATCCTAGAGCATTAGCTTAAACCCCTAGCTGTTAGTCGCGTGTCCTCCTGTGTGTGTGTTTGAAGCAAATAACAAAAACAATACAATTAGTGTTAATGTTTGTGGCAATCGATCTTTGAAAAAGGTCAACGTCCTAAGTGAAATAATTCCCTGTCGCTCTGTCTGCACATACCAAAAAAAAAAACAAAACAAAAACAAAAGAACAGAGGAAAGCCAGCAAATCAGCAAAAGAGCCAAGAAAGGAAAGGAATTCACTCTAATGTTTATACTTTTCACCTAGTTTTTGCTGGGCATTGATTGGCAATGAAAATAGAAAATAGAGTGTACCTCCCACGCAATCACACTTAGTACTGTCCTATATAGTGGGTGCCAAAACATAAACAAGGACATATTGTGCAAACAAACAAGGACTAAGGAAATCTTAACATGTTGCCAGCGTGCGTCAGAGGGAAACTTGTTCAAAAGACTATCAACGCAAAACACTAACAAGAACTAAAACTGAAATGAAAACTACTGAAAAATTCAAAACTATTTTCTAAATATTTATTTATAATTTTTTTCATACATTTTACAACTTTTACGTGCATACGTTTTTCTTCGTATGCAAAGTGTGCCCCTCGTGTCCTGTACCCTGTACCCTCCCACAGACCCGAGCCCATTCTCAAGAAAAGTTGTTGCAAGTTTAGTTCGTAAGTTAACCTAACTTTTATGATCGATATCAGGCGTAGCTTTATCCGATTCCGGGGGCGATATGTCCATCGGGTCGTCTTATTAGTTAGTCCAATCAGTTCCAGCGAGAATCATGTATGTACTTCACCACGTGGGAAACTAAACAAAAGAACTAAGAGAGAACTACTGTTAACAGTCTAATTATTACTATTATCGCGTACATAGCTAAGTTACATTTGTTTTTATTATTGTAACGTTTTTCAATTGTACCTTAAAAAAGAAAAAACGGTTGCTAGAGAGCGAGCAGAAATCTGCCGAATTTGTTAATTGGCCAAGAAGAGACAGGTAAAGAGAGTAAGGAAACAACAACTAAATTGTGTTAGGATTAGTAAAATTTTAGTGAAAATTTCTGATGTAATTAATAAAAAAAAAGTACCAAAGAAAATGTGATGTGTTTTGGATTTCAATTTTTATACCCTTGCTTAGGTTTCTATAATTTTAGTAAACGAAGGAGACATTTCCGACCCTATAAATAATATATATTCTTGATCAGCATAAAAAGCCGAATTGATCTAGCCATGTCCGGTTAAAAAATAATTTATTTGAAATTTTTCAAATTTTTAAAATTTTATAAGGGGTTACATCATTAAAATTTTCAAAAATTGGCAAAAATTTAATTTTTCTTGAATTTTAAATTGAGTATGCAGATTAATAAACGTATAAAAAATTATTTTAATTAAACTTGGGAACGCTTTCCGATTTAAATTTAATGCATTTTTGGCTGAATTATGAGTTTTTTAAACACTGATTGGTTGAGAAAATCGTCATATAGAAAAATCTATAATTATTGATTTAAAGAATGTCAATATTTCTGGTCATATTGAGAGCAGAATTGATAAAAGAGTTAGTGGTTGCCAATAGTCATATACATTCCGATTTGCAATTCAAATTCTTATTCATTAGCAATAAAATATTGAGAAGTTTTTGCTTTATTGGCAATATTATTTAAAAGCAAACTGCAAGGGTCTACAAAATTATCTTCTTTTATTGTTTATTATGGTATTTGGAAATGGAAATCAATGGGTGAGTAAAAAATATATTGCAATGTTTAAATTTGTTGAAGGAGATAGAAAGTTATATTAAAATATAAATCCATAAATATCCTAATTTTTTAAAATATTTGATTGTTCGATGTATTTTTCTTATTCATAATTATATTCATAATATTTTGACAACTAAAGTTGGACTCATTTTTCTACGCATAGTTTTTCTTGCATGTATAAAATTCAATACTAAATAGACATCGTTAAATAATAATGAATAAATAAATATATTTACATAACAAGATAATTAAGAGTACCTTACCCAACTGTTCACACCCAGCATAAAGTGTATTCAGTTTTAAAAAGAGAGCGGTTTAAGTACTTCTCACTCTCTTTCGAAGATAAGTTCGATTGCTGTTCAATGGGAAACAGTACTTGTTATCAGCTCTCCTTCGAACTGCTGGAGCTTTCTCTTTTGTAAGAGATCGATGCTAATGCTGCAGAGAGAATCTATATAGATCGAATTCAGTCTCTTACGATAGCATCCAACTCAAGAGCATTCAAGCATGTTTGATGAATAACATTACTTTGTGTATGGAATAGCCACATTTAATATGACTTTGAGAATGGAAACTTTAACAGACGTGACGTCACATCGAACATCGGGCAGAGATAATGCTCGACAGCAAGAATCGTGGCTCTATATAAGTTACTCTATGTCCAGCACGTTGTCCGATTGTCGCTCATTATCTGTTCAATTGTTCAAGTGAGTGTTTGTTACTGATGGAAATTTATTTCAATTGTTTTTTATTTGTGCCAAATTGAATTAAGACTATAAAGAAGCCACTTAATATTTAAGTGTATATGTGTATATAAGTTGAGTTCAATAAATCAAGTGTGAATAATATTATGCAATCGCAAAAACATGCCGCATTCCAATGTCTCAAGTAGACACACTCCGCCCCTTGAGATTGTTTTTTATATGGGCATTGGATCCCCAACCCATATCAATTTTTTTGTAGTGTCTAATTAAAGGCAGTGCAAGTGAAGTGCCAATGCAAATGAGTGTAGAAATCCATTGGGGGAACTGGCCATAAAGAAGTGGATTTGTGCCCACACCTTATGCAAAAATAAGCGATCTAATCAACTTCCCCTTTGGTAGAAATGGCCCCCACCAAAGTCACCGTTGTTGACCTCCGCTCGGACACCATCAGCAAGCCCACGGACCAGATGCGGACCCGGATGGCCTCCGCCGAGGTTGGGGATGATGTTTATGGCGAGGATCCCACAGTGAACGAACTGGAGTCGCGGACAGCAGCCATGTTTGGCAAGGAGGCGGGCCTCTTTGTGCCCAGCGGCACCATGGGAAATCTACTGGCAAGTGAGTGGCAGAGGCACAGGGACAGTGGGTCGTAAATAAACCCGGCTCCGGGAACCTCATTTTCGGTCTCCGGCAGTTGATTCCCCCCGTAAGCGGGGGGAGGGGGAATCGCTTATGTTTATTAGTTTAAAGTGAGGCCAGTCTCAGATTACAAAGGGCAAGGTGAGCCAACAGAATGGCGAAAAGAAACAAGAAAGCCAGGCTCATATCATGCATCAGGTACATTATCGTAAAGGCTAAGGGCAGCCATAAACATAACATTAATTTTTATAGACTTTAATATTAGACGTGGACGTGTGCCACTCACTATGCAGCACAATGTTGGTAGCAAGGAGCGCCCGAATTGAGGAACTGCTAAGGCTAAGGAGCCAAAAGGACGAGCGCCCAAGGAGCAGCAGCAATCTCGAGTAATTTATGCATTCCCTCAAATTAATATTTCTAATGGAATCTGAAGTTTGCATTTCATCCGAAAAGGAAAATGCACTTAAACTTACGACTGTGCTAATTTTTCACGGTGGGGTCGCTCATTAGATATGCGGCAATAAAAGGCGAAATAAATATGCATTTCTTTTTTAGCTTTGAGTGAGTTTATTTATAAGGAAAGTAAGAAAAACAAGAAAGGAAGTGGAATTTGTATAAACCTTAAATTTGAAATACTCATAACTAAGTTTAAATTGCATTAATTTCAATTCGGAAAGCTGTTCCATTTTAGTTTTGATTAGGTTAACAAATCTGCATATTTAGTTTAGGAATTTAAAAAATGAACATTTTTGGCCTTTTTTTTACAATTTTAACGATGTAACCCCTTATAAAAATTTGAAAATTAAAAAAAAAAATTTATTTTTGCCAGACATAGCTGGATCATTTCGGCTGATCATGCTGATCAAGAATATATATGATTTATAGGGTCGGAAACGACTCATTTAAGTTTTACAAGCTTTTAATATATAAAAGGTGTATAAATAATTCTGAATTTCTTTGAATTTCTTTATCTCATTTTGTTGTCAATTTTTTAATCAAATCATATATCATTTTTAGAAATTATATTTCATAATTAGGATGTGTTTTTTAATGATAGTCATAACTTTTATCAACAAATTGGAGTACGTACTTGAAGTTAATCGGAAAGCAATTAAGTCTGTCAGGTGCCAAATCTTTTTACGATTTATAGACATTTTTGGGAATGATTATCAAGAGGTCCCGGAATCTGAGCACACTTTCATTTTTTCACTTCCTTTTACGTATTTAATAAACAAAGAAAGACGTTAACATCAACATCATTTTCAAACATTTCCCAAACTTATTTTCAACTTATTTAAACTGTAGTACACAAGGCAAAGTAAAAATTGTCTGCGGTTGAGTTCTTGATTATCCTTTTGAGGAATCCAAGTGAATAATCAAGTGCTTCCTTTGCTAATCCCTCCACAGTTATGGTTCATTGCCATCGTCGCGGCACGGAGGCCCTGGTCGGCGATTTATCGCACATCTTTCTGTACGAACAAGGTGAGAACAGCCCACATATAGAACACACCTGTCCACCTGCCTCCCACTCCCCACGACTCACTGGCGGAACGTTTCCATTAATCACATTTAGGTGGCGCCTCGCACCTGGCCGGCGTCCAATTAGCCACGCTGAAGAACGAGCAGGACGGTACCTTCAGCCTGGAGGAGCTGCGCCGCCGGATCCGGCACGATGACTGCCATGAGCCCATCACCTCGCTGGTGGTGGTGGAGAATACCCACAACATTTGCGGCGGCAAGGTGGTGCCTCTCTCCTTCCTGGACGAGCTGGCGGCTCTGGTACGCCAGCCGGGAGTGGGCACTGGTTCCGCCCGCATTGCCCTGCACATGGACGGAGCTCGGGTCTTCAATGCGGCCGCCTCCTTGGGCGTGGGTGTGGAGCGTATCTGTCGCGATTTCGATTCCGTGTCCATTTGCCTCAGCAAGGGCTTATCGGCCCCAGTGGGCTCGGTGCTAGTGGGCGGCAAGGACTTTATTGCAGAGTGAGTTCTTAATTTTATGTTTTAAAAATGATTGAGAAATCGAAATAATGTTATGTTAAATATTCAAGAGCCCGACGACTGCGTAAGGCCTTGGGCGGCGGCATGCGGCAGGTGGGCATTCTGGCTGCCGCCGGATTGGTGGCTCTGGAGGAGGTGGTGCCGCTGCTGGGCAAGGATCACGAGAGGACCAAGAAAATTGCCAAAGGTGGGGATATAGTTCTTGAATTTCTAGATTCATTTATCACAGTAGAAACTCTCTTTTCAGCTATTTATGCCCTGCAGAGTCCCAACATCACTGTGGATTTGGACACGGTGCAGAGTAACATTCTTCTGGTGGAGATCACTCAGCCCAAGCTGAAGGCCAGTGAGTTCTCCACTCGCTTGGGTACCGTGGAACCCGAAGAGCTAGAGGCTGGTCTAACAGACGCCAGTGGAGCTGGAATTGTGGTGAAGGCCAGTGCCCGGGACTGGGCCTTTGCCCGTCTGGTGCTCTACCACCAGGTGGATGACCAGCAGGTGGAGCTGGCCATCCGGAAGCTGGAGTATGTCATTGGGCAGTATGACAAACGCTGGCCGAAGGCATAGGCATGGAATTGGAATCGTTTGAATATGACTGCAGAGACAAACACAATTAGATTTCGCTTTTTGTCGCATTTAATTAAAGATATATATATATAATATATAGAGGGAGCAAAGGAAGAGCTCTAATTTGTATTATTGCCCCTTGAGTGGTTCCGAGCTGCGTTTACATTCACGCATGACCGGTCAGCGCTCCACTGAAGCTGATGGACATCCGCCTGGGCTCCTCTCCCCAACTTTCAATTTCCCATCCTCCAATTGAGAGACTCCATTCCAAGTTTTCCCTTGTGTGTCTGCATGAGTGCTCGGCTGAATGAAATAATAAAATTATTTTTAAAAAATTATTGTCAATCCGGCGATGTGCTCATCGATTTAAAAGCCTGCTCCTTGCTCGCTGGCCGTCGGACATTTGTGATTTATAAGCAAACTTATTGCCGGCGAAATGCGGAATGCGCTCAAAATGATTACGTTACGGCCCAGAGTCCGGTCTCTGTGTGGGCTTAGAGAGAGAGCCGGTCTCCTTTTCGGGCTGAGTGAATGGCATCAATAAGAGACGGGATTTTGGGGGCCCATTGAAATGTTATATTTTATAAATTATGCTCCGCCAAATGAAATGAAATTCAATTAGAGAAATTGCTGAAGCATTTGATAAATTGAAATTGAATTGACTCGGCCAAAGTTGTTCTTTGTCTGCCCGATGCCCGATGCTGGCCGGGATTAACGTATATATCGAGAGTCATCTGGCCAAATGGGAAGTAATTACAGTTTGGGGAATGCGAGGGTTTTTTTTGATCAACTCTCTTGGCCCTGGGTTTGTGGGCCTGCCACGCCTGCAACTGGCACAACAATGAATTCAACTTGTGCCCCAAAAGTATGCAATGCGCCCATTAAAGAGCCACTTTCCAATTCCCATTCCCATTCACTCTCCACCCAACCCGGCTCTGCTTGGCTCTCTCTCCACCAGAAAGCACGCACGCAAGCTTTTCGAGAGAGAGAGAGAGTGGGGGCAATCTATAAATAGCTGCCAGACATGCGACGCTGCCTGGGTGTGAAAATGTGTGTTTGCGGTGTATTGCTTGCTAGCCCGTCGCTCCATCATCATCATCATCATCATCGTCATAATCGTCATCATCGTCATAATCGTCATCATCGTCACCATCCTCATCGCAGCAGGGGAGTTAATAACCAACCCCCGGGAGCTAAATACGTCCCAATTCGAACCGGTAGCTTATGGGTGCGCTCTGGCGCATCCGCTCGCAATGTGTCAGGATGGCCGAGCGGTCTAAGGCGCCAGACTCAAGGCGATATGTCTTGCCCTTCGCAGAAGGGCGGTGTGCGAGCATTCTGGTCCTCTCTGAGGGCGTGGGTTCGAATCCCACTTCTGACAAAGTTTTTTTTTCTACTTTTATATTATAATTATTTATTTTTAAAGGTTTTTACTTAGATCGAAAAAGGGGTTACATTATTTGCCGGTATTTTTCTTAACAAAAACTTCGTTCCATAGAGAATAAATAAACCTTGTTGTGCTTACGATAAGTAATTGGTATAGGTATATTATGTTACAATTGTTTTAATGGTTTTTAGTTTGCTTATTTGCAGTATACAAATAAAAAAAGTTTTAATAATAAATACCAAATCTAAATAAAATGATTCTTAATTCAATTATTTATACTGCAAGTTCTATGCCCATGCAGTTAACTATAATTTTAGTCAGAGGCTTGTAACCACATGAAGGAATCATTTGCGACCCTATAAATCATATATATTCTTGATCAGCAACAACAGCAGAGTCAACCTAGCTATATCCGGTGAAGAAATAAATTTTAAAATTTTTTTTTCAAATTTTGAAAATTTTATAAGGGGTTACATCATTAAAATTGTTAAAAATTCAAAAAAATTTCAAATTTTTAAAATCTTAAATTGAGTATGCAGATTTATTAACCTGATAAAAACTAACATGGGAATGCTTTCCGAATTAAATTTAACGCATTTTTGGCTGAGTTATGGTCGATTTTCACCATTAAATTGTCAACATCAAATTTCGACTTCCTGAATTTATTTTCCTCTGAATGCTCATTCAAGCTGCGACAAATATTGCGCATACGCCGCGTTGAGGGATTCAAAGAACGCGAATTCGATCCTATGATTTAATTGGAAACTGCAAGGGTATCTAGACTTCGGCCTTGCTTTTTAATATTTGTTTAACTTAATGTAATGTAACTTAATGCTTAATGTAACCTTCTTGTTGTTTCTAACTTGAGTTATGATTTTAATCCCAAGTCAATAAACATATGGCCATAGAATAAATAGTATAATTTATCCAAAGAAACCTATGCAAAGTTTAAATACAACAGATTATAGCAAACGCATTCGAAGCATTAAATGTAAAATTCGCAATTAATATTTATTGTTCACGGCACTTACATAAATACCACCCTCTTGCCATTTTTACTTTTAAGTTAAAACAAATGACCAGTTTTTGTTTATGCATTTTGTATAATATTTAAACTATGTTTAGTGGGGGCTCTTGACATAATTACATGCCCTTTCTGTTCAACAAATATTTAATAGCATTTGAAGCCAATTACCGTAATTACATGAACCGACAGAATGGCGGACAGATGTGCAGCATGTAGTGCATTCAATTATGTGGCACACGCTCTTTTCCCAGCCATTTAAACAAATGAATTGCTCCTAATGAAGTATTTAAGCGCACCTTTCTCGCCAGATATCCAGCCTGGCTGGGCAACCAGTGTGTGCGATTTAGTTAAAGTTGAAGTAATTTAATTATGCATTTACACGGTCGACATGTTCAATTAACTAAAGCCACGTTACGTCGACGCTCGTATTAATTTCAGGGGATTTTCAATTCAAACTCGCCTCTTAATGGGCATTAGCATGTTTATTATCGCCCCAAACGGCACCGACCGGCTTTATTGGCAACGCCGCTTTATGGCACGTGCCGCCGCCGCATTTGCTCCTCTTTTGGCCAGGATTGGGAAAGTTTGGCCAACGGGCGAACGGGGTTCCGTATGAACGGATACATGATGAATAGCGCAGCGCTCCTTGGCCCAATAAAATATGATGGGAAAACGCCATTGCCTCATTATGCCGACGGGACTGCCGGGGGATTGGCATTGGCGTGTTACACTTTCCCACCGCCAGCTGAAATGACAATCTGTCATGAAATAAAGTCGTAAACCCCCGGCCCAAGGAGCTGAAAGTCGGGATTCGGTTTGGGGTTTTCTATAAATGAAAATTTGCATAGAGTCCAGCCCCCGAAAAAAAACACGAAACAAAAAGATAATTCAATTTCAATAACCAACCCAAGTAATCTTCAAAACTCGCACTTTGAACTCTTTTTCCATTGAACGAAGAGAAGGAAGGACTTTGTCGTTTGATGGTTTTTCGGGTGCTCTAATTTAATTAATTGCATGCGCCTAACTAAAGTCAAACAATTTCCGTATTTAATCAACGAGAAAGCAAACGAATGACTCAGACACCAGCGTCAAAGGCGAAAGAAGAGTCGGCCATAAAGGATACATGGATGATAGATGCGGGGTTTGGGTGCTTCGATGGTTGCTTCACTTCGAGGTCCTAGGGAGGAGCTGTAAGTCATGCGAACTCATTTCGAAAATTAAGCAAATGTGCTTAAGTATAGGTGGGTGTGTGTGTGTGTGTGTATGTGTGTGTGTGTTTTGGGTTCTTTTCCTACCTACTGTGTGTGTGTGCCTTGGGGGCGTGGCTGGGTGAGCATAACGTGATTGCTGCCAATTTCATAAAGCAGCAAATTGATGATGAGCTAATGCCTCGAAAATTATTGGGAAAAAAATATTTAATAGGTTTACGTCGCGCTCAAGCTGTGAACAAAGAGAAATTGAGTGAAGAGAAAGTGCGACGTCCTTGGGTATTAAGTTGAATGAAAATTTGATTGAAGTTCCGCCAAGGAACCATAAGCTACTCCGTAACAATTCTTCCTATAGGAATTTGAAGGGATTTTCCCAAAAACTTTAAGCAAATTAATAATTCATTTCATTGCAAGACCTAATCTTATTACTATTATTATTGCTGTCAAAAATTCCCAGGGAAATCCAACGCGATTCTGTCTGTACTTAAAATAGCAGTCGTCAGTTATCTGTAAAATTTAAGTGCTTCTGCTTTATCAGGGATGTTCCCATGAGTATTTTCTCCCCCCAAAGGGGTTTTTCCATACGGCAATACCTGTTGGGATACCCGCTGATAGCGCTTATCGCCAGATTACCTGCAAAAGGGGTTGCCATATAAAAGCCTTCCCCAACTGGCCAAATCAATTAAACCGAATCGAACCAACATGGTCAACAGTATAACCATTGTGCTGCTCAGCGGATTGGCCATAATCAGTGCCTCTCAGTCGAAGGACAATGGAATCCAGCTGAGACAGTTCCTAAAGACCCCCACGTCCTATTTTTTGGATTTTGATATAATGGAAGGACAAACTGGTAGTACAGATGACGAGAAATGCCTGGCAGAAATGGCAATGGTTGTGGAGGGTCTAAAAGCGGGAAACTACTGGGCACTAAAAAGTAAGTTAAGCCTAAAGTCCTGCTTTAATTTTAAATGATTCACCTTGTTAACCCGCAGTGATTGATTCTTGGGGATCCTTGCCCTCGGGTCTGCTTTATGGCACCTTCTATGATCTGGGCAACTTCGACGAGTGCCTCAAGGTTCATGAGGAGATTAGCAACAGTCAAACCATTCAGGGCAAGTATTGCTTCTTGGCTGTGCCCCTCAAGGATATCATAGACACTGGAATCAAGGCTTTAGAGACCATGCAGGTCAAGATTGCCACCTGTTTTCCCGCCTCCTGTTCGGCCACCCAAATGGAGAAATTTGTGGGGCAATTGTATCAAAATGCTTTTAACTCCAGTGACAGTAGTTTGAATATTAGTATCGATGAAGACGGCTGCCAGACAAGTGAAACTGAGCCCTGGGATTGGCTTACTGTTTTCACAGTGTAAGTGTAAACTTATACAAATTGTTTGCCTCGAATTCACGTGTTTAATTGCAGTGTAATTTTATCGCTGCTGACTTTAATAGTGGCTTTGTGCACTCTCTACGATTACTTTTTGTGTACTGATCAAAGTGAGTATTTCAGGGTTAAGCTTTATGAGTTTACTAATAATTTTCCTTTTAATTTAGAGCAACTTCCAGCTTTAGTGAAGATTATATCAGCCAGGGCTAATTCCCGAGCTCTTTTCCGCGTGGTGAATGACACCTCCAACCCGAATGTGATCTCCTGTCTAAATGGCATTCGCTGTCTTTCCCTCATCTGGGTGGTGTATCTCCATGAACATATGTACTCCCTGATATCACCAAACATAAACTTTGTCCATGCAATTTCGGTAAGCATAAATTAGAAAACCTAAGAAATTATCTGGTTATATTTTGAATCTACATTCTAGTGGATGGAGAAACCATTTGCCAGCTTTTTCCTGCATGGCTATTTCTCAGTAGATTCGTTCCTATTCATTGGTGGTCTTCTAGTATCCATGACAGCCTTGAGGTCTATGGAAAAGTGAGTTTAAATATATTGAATCCATAAATGAAACTTACCTTATTCCCTATTCAGAACTAAGGGAAAACTAAATGTTCCCATGATGTATCTACATCGCATTATTCGGATTCTTCCTGTCCTGGCCATGGCCATCTTGGTGTACATGAAGCTGATGCCAGTTCTGAGTGGAGGACCCCTATTTAAGAGTGGTTTCCATGGCAAAGAGGCTTGTCAGAATGGTTGGTACTGGGACTTGCTCTTTATCCAAAACTATGCAACGGAGGATGTGGTAAGTTTTCATCTAGAACTCCTTTTGATTAGTTTTAACTTTGTCCTATTTTAGTGCCTAGATCAGTCTTGGTATCTGGCAGTGGACATGCAACTCTACATCATCTCCCCGCTCCTGCTGATCGCTCTTTACAAATGGGGCAAGAAGGCGGCGGCTGGCATTTTGGTGCTCATTGTGCTTCTCTCAGGTTGCCTGTTTGCCACGCAGATGGTCAATCACTACTCGATGATGCGCAAGTAGGTTTCCCATTCTTTTCTTGAGAAGTATAAACTTAATGAGGTTCTTATTATTTCAGAAATGGTGGAGGAGACCCGGAGGCCAATGCTAAACTGTATCTGGCTACTCACACACATGCTGCTCCCTGGCTGATTGGATTCCTTTTCGGCTATTTCCTGCACCTAAATCGGGGAAAGAAATTCGAACTCAATAGATTAGTTGTTTGGGGCGGTTGGTTCCTTAGCCTGGCCATGATCTTCACTTCGATATTCGCCCTCTATCCGGCGGGAAAATGGAGTGCTCCTGCTTTGTCCACGGTGGAGGAGTCTCTGTACTATACCCTTACTCGGGTGGGTTGGCCTTTGGCCCTCTGTTGGATCGTCTTTGCCTGTATGCAAGGATACGGAAGCCTGGCGAACAGTTTGCTCTCCTCGCCCCTGTGGCAGCCCCTTTCAAGGCTCTCCTACTCCATCTTCATTTGGCACATGTTTGTCCAGGAGGTCAACAGCAGGAATGTGAGAACCAGCACTTACTTCTCGAACTACAAAGTGGTGAGTGGTAGCAATTGTTTACCAATATTTTAGGCTTTACTGACCCATAACTTACTTATTGCAGATGCTCAACTTCTGGTCGGACTTTGGCATCAGTCTGGTGATGTCATATCTTTTATATCTTATCATTGAGGCGCCGATCGGGGGTCTTGATGCCCTTTGGCGGCCCAGAGGGAATCCAAAGCCAATTAAAACTTTAGCTGAAACTCCTATGAATCAGACTGAGACGAGAAATCCAGACAAAGCAACTCCAGCATAGTATAATTTGTAATAAAGTTGATAGTGCATTTTCCTTTAATTTATTTGTGAAATGAACTGAATTAATTTTAAATATTAAAATATATATATAAGTGAAAAAATTTTTAGTGTTTCCCACTGACTCACAATACTCAGAATATTCAGTGCTGTCCCAAAAGTTGAGTGATCGGAAACAATTAGTATTTTCAAATACGCATGCGTTTAATATATATGCTATTTCCCGGTAATAAGCTTTTGCTAATCGGTTGTCAAATGTCATAATTGTAGATAGTGCTTATCATTAGATTGCGCTTGGCCATATAAAATCACAGGCACTTGGCTAAAAGCTATCAATCGAAAGCGAATAAGAATGCTTAACGTTATTAGTATTTTATTGCTCGCGTTGCTCGTTGTCAACGGTGCCTCACAGTCCAAGGATTCTGAAGTGTTGCAACAATACGAGGCATTGCAACAACTTGAAGCCTTGGGAGTGGAATTTGCGAAATATTTTAGAAATGTTACATTGGAAAGCTTGGGTGTATTGGATTTCCAAGTGCCCAGACAAGAAGATATCGTATGCATTCAGGATTTGGCAGAAGTAATGAAGGGCCTTTCGAGCAGACAGCGTTGGGCCCTGAAGAGTAAGTAGAGCCAAGTTAATATAATTTGCGGTAATATTTTCTTATCTGTATCAATTAGTGATTGATTCATGGGGATCCGTTCCCTCTGGAGTACTTATTGGCAATGCCTTCAACTTGGGTAACTTCGATGAGTGTCTATCAATTAGCCAGACGATTAGCAGCAACCAGAAAATAAATGGAAAATATTGTTTTCTCCTCGTAAACCAATTGAGGATTGCAACTTGCTTTCCAGCCTCTTGTTCGGCCACTCAAATGCAGCCCTTTCTGGACCAACTTCTTCATAAAATCATCAGTTCTAATAGTTCCAGCATAAGCATGAGGATTAGCGAAACCAGTTGCCAGACAAGTGAACTCGTACCATGGGATGGACTCACCATTTTAACAATGTGAGTATGATTAAGATCCATATGGATATGATTATAATTATTTTTATCATTACAGAGTTGTGTTATCATTAATGGCATGCATTGTGATAGCATTTACAATGTTTGACTTCATCATGTGCCATGATCAGAGTGAGTTTTTAGTTAGTAATCCTGAGATTATGATATATCTTAGTTAAGTCTTTTTATTCCAGAAAATATTCCATTTCTGGTAAAGGCTCTATCAGCTCGTGCCAACTCCAGAGCTCTTTTCCGAATTGTGCCAAACAAATCGAATCCAAATGTGATTGAGTGCTTCCATGGAATTCGTTGCATGTCACTCCTTTGGGTAATTTATGCCCACGAGTACATATTCTTTTTGAGGACTCCCAACCTGAATAACGCGGATATACAGAATGTAATGATGTATCTTTGAAATCTCTCAAAATGGAGAGCTAACTAGTATCCTATTTTTTTATAGTGGATGGTTGAACCCTTTGCCAGCTTCACTCTGCATGGTTATTTCGCAGTAGATTCCTTTTTCGTCCTTGGAGGCCTACTCGTTTCCATGATTGCATTGCGTGTTATGGAGAAGTTGGTATACGAAATACAGTCTGTACTTACTTTTCAACCGAAACCATTAACAGAACCAACGGAAGACTGAATCCTCTGCTGATGTATCTGCACCGCATTATCCGCCTCCTGCCAGTCGTGGCCTTTGCCATTCTCGTCTACATGACGATGATGAACGTGGTCAGCGGTGGACCAATGCTTAAATATGGATATCACGGGAAGGCGGCTTGCTCGAAGGGTTGGTTTTGGACCTTGCTTTTCATCCAGAACTATGCAGTCTTGGACATTGTGAGTAATTGCGACTATTTCGACGTATTTCGTATAAAATAATCTGTATTGCATCTGAAACCGACATGGCAACCGTAGTTAATGGAATGAAAAAGAAGCAATGGCTTTTAGATAGCATTATCTGAAAAATATAGTTAGTTAATCGTAGATATTGATAGTCTAACTAATGTCATTGCTTTCTCTTTTTTAGTGTTTAGATCACACGTGGTACTTAGCGGTGGATATGCAGCTCTACTTAATATCCCCTCTTCTGCTGATAGCTCTCTACAAGTGGAAAAACAAGGCTGTTGCTGGAATTATAACTCTTATAGTCCTGCTTTCCGGCTGCCTGTTTGCCACACAAATGGTTAATAAGTATTCACTTCTCATTAAGTAAGTAGCTCTAAGATATAAGAGGTTAATTAATTATCTAATAATAATTATATTGTTTAGGAATAGCTCTGATGACGATGAAGTGGCCAATAAAAAACTGTACTTGGCCACACACACACATGCTGCTCCCTGGCTGATTGGATTCCTGTTCGGATATTTCTTACATGTAAATTGGGGAATAAAGTTCCTGATAAGAAAAACGATTGTGTGGACAGGATGGATCCTAAGCCTGGCAATGATCTTCACCTCAATCTTTGCCCTCTATCCGGCGGCCCAGTGGAGTGCTCCTCCTCTGTCCACCTTGGCGGAGTCTTTGTACTACACCCTCACCCGCCTGGCCTGGCCATTGGCCATCTGCTGGATCATCTTTGCCTGCATGCAAGGATACGGGGGACCGGTCAACAGTTTCCTCTCCTCACCACTGTGGCAGCCACTCTCCAGGCTCTCCTACTCCATATACATCTGGCACATGTTCGTCCAGGAGGTGAATAGCAGGAATGTCAGGACGAACACATATTTCTCAAACTACTCTGCGGTATATTTCGTTTTATTCCACTGTTTGATTGCAATTTAAATTGACTTTCTTTTTGCAGATGGAACACTTCTGGTTTGACTTGGGCTTCACCGTGCTGTTGTCCTACTACTTTTACCTTATAATTGAGGCTCCTCTTTGCGGATTCGATAATCTTTTAAGGCCTCGTCGGGTCTCGCCTGCGGTTGAAAGGCCACCGCTAATTTCAGATCAAGGCAATGTGCCGGAATGTGCTAATGAGAATGAATCAAAACCCATACCTATCACTGACTAGTCTTATTTATTTCATATTTAAGCATACCAAGGATAAATATTATCTAATTAAATACCGGCATTTGGTCAAACATATCTCTTTTTCATTTTTTTTTATAACGAGTTCATTCACCATTTCGCAGAAAGCCGACTTCTGGCAGCGAGATAATAAAATAAACAAACAGCTCTGTCCTGATAACATAGTCACTTGCGCCCGACCACAATTTCGCTGATTACTCACAATCGGGAAAGTTGGCAAAGGCAGAATAACTCGTCTAAATGTCTCCTGCTAACGCCTCTAATCGGTTGGCCAAACCAGCCCATAGCTTATCGCATTTTTTATTCCCGATTACTAGACAACATGGAAAAAGTTGCTACAATTTTTGGGATCTGCGGGTTGGTTCTCATCGGAATAATCAAGGCCTCGGAACCGAAAAACCTATATCTTTTGATACTATGATGAGTGTCTGAGGGATCAGTGCACAGTTCAACACATTATATGTACTACTGGCAAATACTTCCTACTCAGCTTGTTCGTTGGGGAAATACTTGACAGCCCTGCAGAGTTTCAATTTTATTATTTTCTCCAGTTTAAGTATAAGCGACTACTTCCCAGATAAAACAAAGCAATATCTGGGACGGGCTAAAGATGGACTGATATTGGATTTCTATTTATCCAAAACTTCACCACTACGGAAATTTGTTCGACAAATCAAAGTATAAAAAACTCACACCTAAGCCAAAAATGCATTAATTTCACTAAGGAAAGCTGTCCCATGTTAGTTTTTATGAGGTTTATAAATCTACATACTCAATTTATCATTTTGGAAAGTTAATATTTTTTCGAATTTTTGACAATTTTAATGATGTAACCCCTTATAAAAATTTGAAATTTACAAAAATTTTCGAAAATGTATTTTTTGACCTGACATGGCTAGATCGATTTGGCTGTTAATGCTGATCAAGAATATATATGATTTATGGGGTCGGAAATGACTCCTTCACTGCGTTTGATGCTTCTTACTGCATTTATTACCCAGAAATGGTACAGTCGAGTCCCGATAATTCGAAATGGCAAGGGGATCACTTTTTTACGAATTAGACGGGAATTCGATTTATCGAGATTTCTATTTAAAGGGGCTCAAAAATGAAAGAGTCGAATAAACGGGGTTTTTACATTTCACATCATGTTTACATATGTATTTAGCTTTATTAAAATTAAACAAACATAACAAATATGTACATTCACGTCACACGTGACGTGTACGTTTTTCAAATTAAAAGAAAATTAAACAAAAAATTAACAAACAAAATTAAGCAGAAACATTAAATTATTAAAAACGAAAATTTATGCTTTAAAATAATTGGTAATTTTTGATTGCTTCGTGTTTTTTTCTTTTATTTTTTCCATTGCGTTTTCTAAACCTATTAGGTTGTCAAACACACTATTTGGCACATCATGAGTCGAAAAATAATGTTTAAGTTGAGTAATTAATGCTCTGCTTTGTAAATTCTATAAAATTTCTTCTCCGTTCTGATGTCTGCAAAATCTAACGTCGCTTTAACTACAAAATATTTCGCATCGCATTACGATTTATAAGAGGTTTCGAAACAAAATTACGATTTATAAGAGGTTCAATATTCTTTTGCGTTGCGCCAAATACTACGAATTAACGAGGGGACCAAAATGTATGGAATTTTTACGAATTAACGAGTTTTTTTTCAAGGGGACAGAATTTTTACGAATTATCGCGATTTTCGATTTAGCGGGGTACGAATTATCGGGATTCGACTGTATATAGTCCACCGATTCGTCATGCTCCGACTTATATACCAGTAAAATTATATACAAGAATAACTCCATAGATCATTGAAATAGATTAAATTTGTTCCAAAACAAATCTCGCACAACTGTGCATATAATTCCCAACAAGTTCTAACATCCCCGGAACGAAGTGAGTGCTGCCGGCCAAGTTTCAGAAATGTGTTGTGTTACAAAAGTTGCAAATCATTGTTTATTAGTGTTCAAAGTTAGTAAGTGAACATACATACTTACTGATCAGAGTTACTTACTGGTCATAGATACTTACTGTTTAGAGTTACTTACTGCTCAGAGTTACTTAGTGTTCATTGATACTTACTGATCAGAGTTACTTACTGCTTAAAGTTACTTGCTGATTAAAGTTAAATTAAATATCAGCTCGCTGCTGCTCTCTGCCTCTCCCCCACTCTCGCTATGTTAATCGCTCTATGTTAATCTCTAGAGGCAACAGCTTCTCTCCCACGCACTCACATTCTCTTCTCTGCTCTGCTCTGCTCTGCTCTGCTCTGCTCTGCTCTTCTCTGCTCTGCTCTGCTCTGCTCGCGGACTATAAATAGAGGCGCTGAGGGCCCGCGCTCCTCAGTCTGTCCTAGGGGTACCTAGTGTTAACATCTCAAGTGATAGTGCAAGTGATCAGCCTTCGGCCTAAAAATATGACGTGGCCAATGCAATACATCTGGATGACTAGGAAAAAGCTCCCTTTGGATGGAATCAGCATTTTTGGTCACAACACTGGAAGGAAGTAAACAATGACGTGTCCTCTACTGCGGTAAGTCTTAAACATGACATTTATATTACAGTCGAGTCCCGATAATTCGAAATGGCAAGGGGATCACATTTTTTACGAATTAGACGGGAATTCGATTTATCGAGATTTCTATTTAAAGGGGCTCAAAAATGAAAGAGTCGAATAAAGGGGGTTTTTACATTTCACATCATGTTTACATATGTATTTAGCTTTATTAAAATTAAACATGTACATTCATTTGTACGTTTTTCAAATTAAAGGAAAATTAAACAAAAAATTAACAAACAAAATTAAGCAGAAACATTAAATTATTAAAAACGAAAATTTATGCTTTAAAATAATTGGTAATTTTTGATTGCTTCGTGTTTTTTTTCTTTTATTTTTTCCATTGCGTTTTCTAAACCTATTAGGTTGTCAAACACACTATTTGGCACATCATGAGTCGAAAAATAATGTTTAAGTTGAGGAATTAATGCTCTGGTTTGTAAATTCTATAAAATTTCTTCTCCGTTCTGATGTCTGCAAAATCTAACGTCGCTTTAACTACAAAATATTTCGCATCGCATTACGATTTATAAGAGGTTTCGAAACAAAATTACGATTTTTAAGAGGTTCAATATTCTTTGCGTTGCGCCAAATACTACGAATTAACGAGGGGACCAAAATGTATGGAATTTTTACGAATTAACGAGTTTTTTTCAAGGGGACAGAATTTTTTACGAATTATCGCGATTTTCGATTTAGCGGGGTACGAATTATCAGGATTCGACTGTATTAAAATTAAATTGATGTTGTGTGCGTTTATCTCACAGCTTCCATATTATCCTTTTTATAAATATATTAACAAGAAAGAAAACTAGCTTCGTAAAAACAAAGTCTATACACCAATCCAGTTTTCGATTGAATTAAAAGATCGAATTCACTTTCATCGAGTCGCTCAACGCGGCGTATACGCAATATTTAGAATGCATTCTCGCTTTGTATTGGCAGCTTGAAGGAGCATTCCCGCTTTTGGACTCGGCTTCTGCAGCTGCAGCTCAGAATTATAAATAACAACGTAAATTTAAATGTTTAATATGCTTGTGTCTATAATTAACAAGGAAAGGTAACTTCAGACAGCCGATGATTTACCCTTAAAGTTGACAATTTGCTGATGGAAATCTATCATAACTCAGCCAAAAATGCATTAAATTCAATTCGGAAGTCAGTCCAATGTTAGTTTTTGTTAGGTTAACAAATCTGCATACGTGGCAAGTTAGCATTTAAAAAAAATTCAATTTTTGATAAATTTTTGACTATTTTAATGATGTAACCCCTTACAAAAATATGAAAATTTGAAAAAATTTCAAAAACCAGATATAGCTAGATCGATTCTGCTGTTGATTCTGATCAAAAATATATATGATTTATAGGGTCGGAAATGATTTCTTCACTGCTTAAAGAAGCTAGTACTATAGCATTAAGCAGTACGGTTTAAATTACAGGTTTTCTTTGAATTAACCTAGTTTTAAATTCCTTGTAAAAGTATACACCTTATCATCAATTTGAATAATTTTCCACGAATAATTGGCGTCAAAACAAGTCAATTCCAACAAAACATATTGTAAATGTGATTAAAAATCCCCTTTATCATTGTGATGAGGTTTTTAGTAAATCGTTGCTCACCAATGATTAAGATTATAAATTAATAAATAAGGAGTCACCGGGACTACTTCAAATGAAAGAGATTGCCTATTATCAGGCGTCTTCCCAGAAATGGACGTTGGACGACTGGTAACTTACCAGACGATTTTGTAATCAGACCCTTATCGCTTGATAATTCGCATAAGAATCGGCATAAAGTCTTCAGGTGTCGGACAGAAGCAGTCAGTAGCGTTTGAGTTATAATGGACAACATTGCCGGCTTTATTTTTCTCTGCGGGCTCGTTCTCGTTAGCGCAACGCAGCCGCAGGACGAAATCCTTAACAATTTTCAGCAGGTTACGAAACTAAGTCACTTGGGACTTGAATTCGCCGACTTCTTCCAAAATGTAACTCTCAGTGATATAAGCTTAGCGGATTCCCGAGCGCCGAATGAGGAGGATTTGTTGTGTCTCCGAGACTTGACTCTGTTTTCAAATGCTCTAAAAGAAAGGAAACTCTGGGCCTTGAAAAGTAAGTAAAGAAATGAAACCGAAAGGGATAAATAATTTATCCCTTATCTCTCAGTGATCGATGCATGGGGTTCCATTCCCTCTGGCATTCTGACTGGCAACAGGCACAACCTGGGCAACTACGATGAATGCCTCAATATTAACAAGGACATTAGCCAGGGTGTTACAATCCGTGGTAAATACTGTTTCCTGCAAACTTCCCTCAGTGCAATGCTTGGCAGTGATATTGGTGCTCTCGGAGTAGTAACGAGAATAAAGACAGCAACCTGCTTTCCTGCCTCTTGTTCGGCAGCTCACATGAATCTATTTGTGAGTCAGGTGTTGCAAAAGGTCCTTAACTTGGACATTCCCAGCACAGCAATGGGTATCAGTGATGCCAGCTGCCAGACGAGTGCGAGTGAACCGTGGGATGGACTCACCATTTTTACGGTGTAAGGGTTCAATTAAATATCAATTGCTACCGACCGACTAACCACTTTTTGATTACAGAGTGCTCTTATCACTAATGGGTGCTATTGTGGCTGTATTCACGGTTTACGATTATTTCTTCTGCAAGAACCACAGTGAGTTTGCTTTTAAAAGATTTGCCGAACATTTTCCAATAACCTTCACTTTTTAGATGAGCTTCCTGCTATTGTGAAGGCGTTTTCGGCAAGAGCCAACTCTCGAGCTCTTTTCCGCATCGTGGAGAATACCTCCAACCCGAATGTGATCAGTTGCCTCAATGGAATAAGGTGCATGTCACTCTTTTGGGTGGTTTTTAGCCACGAGTACACGGGCAGATTCTTTGCTGCGAATCTTAACCTATTCAACGTTCTTCCGGTAAGATAACTTAAAGTACCTTCCAAGAATATTGGTCTAACATATGAGTTTCCAGTGGTCCAAGCTACCTTTTGCAAGCTTCATTTTGCACGGCTTCTTCTCAGTGGATTCCTTTTTCTTTCTCGGAGGATTGTTGCTTGCCTTGATTGCACTTCGCACAATGGATAGGTAAGAAAAACTTACGCTTTCTAAGTCAAAGTACTGATTTCTTGACATTCTCTGTGCAGAACCAAGGGAAAACTGAATGTGCCACTGATGTACCTTCATCGCTTGATCCGAATCGTTCCTATTTTGGCCGTGGCTATACTGGTTTACACAAAACTCATGACGGTAGTGGCGAATGGACCTCTTTTACAAGGCTTTAGTGGAGAAACAGCATGTGAAACCGGATGGTATTGGACTTTGCTGTTTGTGAACAACTACACCAATGTGAAGGTACACCAGGAAGAGGAGATTTCAGATCGATTCGTTTATAATTTTAATTTTTAACACTTTTATTTAGTGTCTCGGCCATACCTGGTACTTGTCAGTGGACATGCAGTTGTTCATCATCTCTCCGGTCCTGCTGATCGCTCTCTACAAATGGGGCAAGAAGGCTGCTGCTGGAATATTCGTTCTTATAGTGCTGCTCTCTGGCTGCCTCTTTGCCACGATGATGGTCAACAACTACTCGATGATGTTTTTCCAAAACAGCTTCAGTATAGATGCCATGTCCAATATGTACTTTGCCACTCACACGCACGCTACACCTTGGCTGATTGGATTCTTATTTGGATATTTTCTGCATTTGAATAAGGGCAAAAAGTTCCAGCTGAGCTGGATATCAGTGTGGTCAGGATGGATTCTCTGCCTGGCCATGATCTTTACCTCGATCTTTGCTCTGTATCCGTCAACCCAGTCGAATACTCCACCGCTGACAACCCTGGAGGAGTCCTTCTACTACACCCTCACTCGAGTGGGTTGGCCGTTAGCCCTCTGCTGGGTGGTCTTCGCCTGCATGCAAGGATACGGAGGAATGGCTAACAGTTTCCTTTCCTCCCCGCTGTGGCAACCTCTGTCGAGGCTCTCCTACTCCATATACATGTGGCATTTGTTTATCCAGGAAATGAACGCGAAAAGTTCTAGGACAAACTCGTACTTCTCCGACTACCAATTGGTAAATTTTCTGCCTTGTTTTTCTTCTCTTGTTTTTACTTTAATTTCACTTCTATTTTAGATGCTTCAATTCTGGTCAGACATTGGTATTACCCTGGTGGTTGCCTATCTATTGTATCTGATTATCGAGGCTCCTATTGGTGGACTTGACAATTTTCTACGACCTCAAAAGAAGCCTGCTGGTGTTCAAAAAACCAGCTCATATCCAATTCAGATAGTTTCAGACCAAAAAGTACATGGTGATGGTCCAAGTAAGCTGAAAGAGACTGAAACGATAGCTCAAACAATATCTGAATAGGATATAACTAACTCATCTAATATAAGATAATTTATATATCGTAGTTACATAAAATTATTATAAATATGGAACTTAAATATGGTTAATATGTATTAAGAAAAACGAATTTTAAATAAAATAATTGAAACTATAAGAACAAATTGCTGCTGGATCTATCAATTTCATTAAAGTCATGTGCTTTTCCTCACGTGAAGAGCACAACCATATTATCTGTTTTAATAATTTTTTATAAACAGCTCATAAGTTAAGTAAATTCTCAAAGAACAGTAGAAGAGATGTCATTTCTTTGATTTTAAAGTAAATTTTTACATTCAAAACTTTTCTGTTTTGGTTTTGAAATTCTGGACTGCGTTTGGAATTACCTTAATGTTGTCCCATTTAATATATTTCATCATCGAGAGTCCATTTCGTGGACTTGAAAATTTACTTCGACCACAAATAAAGACTTCAAATACCAACAAATCCAACATTGCTTCATTTTGAAACCAAACTTAGATTAAGATTAAACATTTCAGTACAATACTTGAATGTTAAGGAAACAAATAATGGTACGCCTTTATCATAAATCAGCTGCAGAAAGATTTCAAAATATTTATCAAAAAATATTAATTCCAAGAACTTATGTTTAAATTACCATCTTTTCTTAGTAAATTTGCAAATATAGGATCTACGTACATAAGTAGCAAAATACTTACCAAAATATCAGATAGATTATACGAATTTTGAGAGAACTTGAAAGATTATCTTACAAGTGCAATTCTTTGTAAAGGAGAACAGCTTGTGTGTACATATGTATATAAAAATACGTATAAAGCTTATCAATATATTTTGTAGGATGTACTTATAGCGAGCTATCTTTACCTTATAAAAAGGTTTGATTTTGATTAAAAACGTTTAGTGCCAGTTAAGCTACCATGGCGAACATAGTTGGATTCATTTTCCTTTGTGGACTTCTCCTTGTCAGGGCCGCACAGCCGATGGAAGAAGATGTCCTTCAGAAACTTCAGGGTATCAGTCAACTACGATCTTTAGGACTTGCGTTTGCTGAATTCTTCAAGGATGTAACACTCGATGACTTAGACATTCGGATGCCCAGACTGCCCACTGAAGCGGACCTGCTCTGTTACAACGATATGACTCAGTTCATGACGGCACTTAAATCTGGAGAACTTTGGGCTCTAAATAGTAAGGATTCTGGGTCTAAGAAAATAATAATCTCAAAATCTACTTCCAATGACAGTGATCGATGCTTGGGGCTCCATTCCCTCGGGACTCCTGACGGGCAACGCATACGATCTGGGAAACTTCGACGAGTGTTTGAATATTAAAAAGGGTATCAGTGAAACCACAGTTATTCGTGGCAAATACTGTTTCCTTAGAGTTTCGCTCGGTGAATTTTTGGGAGTCAATAATCCCAAACTGGCAGCTTTGAGCTTCAATACTGCAACCTGTTTTCCCGCCTCCTGTTCGGCGGCTCACATGAACGCGTTCATGGGACAGCTGATGAATCAGTTGGTGAACTCAAGTATAAATGGCATGAGTATCAGTGATAGTAGTTGCCAAACGAGTGAAAGGGAACCCTGGAGCGGACTCATGATCTTTACAGTGTAATGGTGAATCATCATCAATCACTTTCAATTGCTAAACACTTGTGATTACAGGGTGATCTTATCCTTGATGGGCTCGGCTGTAGGGCTCTTCACATTGTTCGATTACCTCTTCTGTACAAATCAAAGTGAGTTAATCGACACCAGCGCTAGTTCTGAGTTCTAAACTTAACGCAACTTCCAGCTGAAGTACCTGTAATAGTGAAGATTTTTTCCGCACGAGCCAACTCCAGAGCTCTCTTCCGCATTGTGCAGAATAAGTCCAATCCGAATGTAATTGAATGCCTCCATGGAATTCGGTGTATGTCCCTCTTCTGGGTGATTATTAGCCATCAGTACGGAGCCAACATGATCTCTGCCTGTATTAATATTTTGAAAATGATGACGGTAGGTAAAATGAATTACACTTTTAATTTCATTAAAAATAATCGATCTTTGGTGTTCTTTAGTGGCTGAAGCTTCCATACTCTAGTATCATTGTGCACGGAGGATTTGCGGTGGATTCCTTTCTCTTCCTTGGCGGATTGTTGGTAGCTTTGGTGGCCCTTCGCTCAATGGATAGGTAAGATTAAAAAGTAGCAAATTCTTAACTTATTTAATAATTTATATTTTCTAGGACGCACGGAAAGATTAATGTGCTTCTAATGTATTTGCACCGTTTGATTCGCATTTTCCCTATTTTGGCCATAGCCATTTTGGTCTATACTAATCTCATGACTGAATTGGCAGATGGGCCACTCTTACAGAGCGGATACACGGGAAAATCAGATTGTGAAACTGGTTGGTATTGGACTTTGCTCTTCGTGAATAACTATACAAAGGCAAAGGTAACTGACGAACTTAATTGCGCCTTAAGATAAGGATTGATGCGTTAATCTTTGTCGTTTAGTGCCTTTCCCATTCATGGTACCTATCAGTGGACATGCAGCTGTTCATCATCTCTCCGATCCTGCTGATATCTCTCTACAAATGGGGCAAGAAGGCTGCTGCTGCAATATTTATCCTTACAGTTCTTCTGATTGGCTGTCTCTTTGCCACGATGATGGTCAACAACTACACCGTGCAGATTATGTAAGCGACACTTAGGGTTCTTTTGCCATTAATGATTCTAATTCCGGTTTCTGTGCAGGAATGAAGGTAAAGATGGGACTCAGGAGCTGTACTATGCCACTCATACACACGCCACCCCTTGGCTGATAGGATTCCTTTTCGGCTACTTCCTGCACTTGAATAGGGGAAAACAATTTCAACTGAGTTGGGTTGTCGTTTGGGCCGGATGGGGTCTCTGCCTGGCCATGATCTTTACCTCAATATTTGCTCTATATCCGTCGACTCAGTCAGGTGCCCCACCCTTGTCAACCCTGGCAGAGTCCTTCTATTACACCCTCACCCGAGTGGGTTGGCCTTTAGCCCTCTGCTGGGTGGTCTTCGCCTGCATGCAAGGATACGGGGGACTGGCCAATAGCTTCCTCTCCTCGCCGCTGTGGCAACCGTTGTCAAAGCTCTCGTATTCGGCTTTCATCTGGCACTTGTTCATCATGGAGATAAACGAAAGGAGTGTCAGGACCAATACCTTCTTCTCCGACTATCAAGTGGTAGGTTAATTTGTTCAAACATTTGTGTCACAGATATTAATTTGCATTTTGCAGATGCTGAAATTCTGGTCCACTCTCGGCTTCACCCTCTTACTCTCTTACTTGATGTACTTGCTCGTAGAGGCACCATTTGGAGGTCTGGACAATTTCCTACAATCTCAGAAAAAGCCTACTAATGATAAAACATTAAATCGGGTTTCGGATCAGACTCAGCTGAACAAAAACAATAATGAAAGTGCAAGTGATCCAAGAGCGACAGAGGCACGTGCTCAAATACTTGCTGATTAGGGATAAATATAAGTTATTATATTTTATTAAAACATTCCTTTCTTTCATTGAATTGTATAAATAGAACATGTTTTTTGTCAAACCCTTACACTCCATGAGTATCTTGTGGACTTGGTTTCTGATAATCATATGATCTAAACGTTTTAAGCTGCTTCGTAGAACATACTTATCGCTATTTTATAACATTTGTTTACCGGTTACCGAAGGAGATTTTCATAGTTTGATTTTGTTAAACACACTTATCAGTCACGTAATTTGGTTATAAACGCATTAATACTATGGGAGTCATATAGTACTTTTGTGGGAACTCCTTTGCGAACTTGTCCTCATCAGTGACGCACAACCGACGGAAGGAGATCTGGACAATCTTTAGAGTAACAGCCAGTAGAAATACTTTGGATTTGAAATTATTGAACTCTTAAAAGATAGACCTCTCAAAGTCGTAGACATAAATGCCTCCAGAGTGCCCACTCAGAAGCATCCACTGTGCCTCAGCGATATGACTCAGTCTACTGTTTATTGGGCTCTGAAGAGTGAGTAATCTACAGAATAATAACAAATAATAGTCAAGTTCTTTATTATGACAGTAAGCGACGCGTGGGTCTCTATCCCCGTGGGATTCCTAACTGCCAACAGATACGACCCAGAAAACTTCTAACTGTGCCTTAAAATGCATTTAAATATTAGTAAAAAGCTTGTAACGCTCTAAAGGATTCATTTCCGACCCTATATATCATATATATTCTTGATCAGAATCAATAGCTGAATCGATCTAGCTATTTCTGGTCGAAAAAGAAATTTTTGAAATTTTTTCAAATTTTGAAAATTTTATAAGGGTTTACATCATTAAAATTGTAAAAAATTGATCAAAAAATTAATTTTTCGAAATGTTAACTTTAGTATTCAGATTTGTTAACCTAACAAAAACTAACATAGGATTGGTTTCCGAATTGAATTTAATGCATTTTTGGCTGAGTTATGAGATTTTTAAATTTTGATTTGTCGAAAAAATTCTCAAATAAAAATTCGCCCCCACTTTGCTTTGTATCCGGCAGCTCAGTCTCATTTTCATACATGTCTGTATTACACTGTCAACCACAAATAAAATAAAAACTAAAATTTGAAATGAAATAACTGAAACTAAAAGTGCAAAAGAACTTTAAAAAAATTCAGCTGAATGCACCCATCTATTTTCACTAAAGTCATGGGGATTTCATCACGTGAAAATCACAATCTTATCATCTATTTGAATAATCTTTTAAGCAGAGCATAAGGTAAACACTCAATTCTGCCAATAAAAGTAGAAGTGATTACTAATCTTCGATTTCAAAGTGAATTCCTGAGCAAATCTCTGTTCCTGGGACAAAGACATAGTTTAAAAAATTTATTTGTTCTTTACTTCTATGTAAAGTTATCATCACCCGAAAATACTACTATGTATATTCACCAAGATTGCCAGTTGGCAGACCTTTACGTTTGAAGTACTTCAAATCCGATTAAAAACAAATAAAACATCGACATATAAGGAAAGAACACATTATTTTGGTAGATAGACCAATTAACTAGGCATTGATTACCAAATAAAGAGATTACTTTATCAGGCAGTTTTTGTGAATCATTTCACATGGTTCACGGTAGACGGGGCTTATCGGAAGCTAATTCGCATATAAAAAGCCGCGGAATTATTAGAGGAAACTTCAAATCAAGTTGAGCTACCATGACCAACATAGTCGTGTTTATTATTGTCTCGGGACTTCTACTCTTCACAGCCGCAGAGCCGAAGGATACCGATGTCCTGCAGGACTTTCAATATATAAATCAGCTGAGATCATTACGGCTTCTGATTGCTGACCACATCGAGGATAATGCAACCCATGATTTTGCACTCCAGCTGCCGAAAGTGCCAAGCCAAGAGGATCTCTTGTGTCTGAGCGATTGGACTCAGTTCTTGACGGCTCTTAAAGCTGGAAAATATTGGGCCTTGAAAAGTAAGTTATCAATTTAATGAGAAAAGAATAATCTCTAAAATCTTGACCATAACAGTGATCGATGCATGGGGGTCTATACCATCGGGAATCCTAACTGGAAACGTATACGACCTGGGAAATTTTGATGAGTGCCTGGGTATCAGAACAGAGGCCAGCCTAGGAAGAACCATTCGGGGCAAGTACTGCCTTCTCTTGTCTTCTCCTGGAAAAATGGTCGGATTGGGTGGGTCAATTATTGAAAGGTTGTCCTTAAGGACTGCCACTTGTTTTCCCGCTTCCTGCTCGGCTGCTCACATGAACACGTTCATGGGACAATTGATGAAGCAGTTCTTGAATTCAAGTATTCCCACCAACGGATTGAGTATAAGCGAGAGCACTTGCCAGACAGATGAACCAGAACCTTGGGATGGACTTACCATTTTCACAGTGTAAGAATGACTTTCTTTATAACATTTTAATGCCAAAGGCTAAGAACCTGTTCTGATTACAGGGTGATCTTATCACTGATGGGTTCTATTGTGGCTATTTTTACGCTGTACGACTACTTTTTCTGTGAAGACCAAGGTGAGTTAATCGATCGGAACTTGTTTGGGCTTTAATATTTCTCAATAATTAATAAATTTCAGATAAGCTTCCAGCAGTTGTGAAGGTTTTCTCGGCCAGGGTAAATTCCCGGGCTCTATTCCGCGTTGTGGAGAACAAGAGCAACCCAAATGTAATCGATTGTCTTCACGGAATTCGTTGCTTATCTCTTATCTGGGTGGTCTATTGCCATCAATACACAATGCAAACCCTGGGAGCAAACCTTAATATTGTGCTCTATAAAAGCGTCAGTTTTGAATTGATTGTTAATTAATTTAGTTGTTAATTGAATGTTTTTACAGTGGTCCGAGTCATCGTCAGCCAGTTTTGTTCTCCACGGATTTTTCTCTGTAGACTCATTCTTCTTCTTGGGAGGAATGTTGGTGTCGTTGATTGCGTTGCGATCGATGGACAAGTATGCAATTATTACTAATTAACATGTTAGAATATGATTTTATAGCTAATAATTTTTCAGAACCAAAGGAAAATTGAACGTGCCACTGATGTACCTTCATCGCTTGATGCGCATCCTTCCTGTTTTGGCAATAGCAATTCTGGTTTACATAAGAATCATGCGAATTGTGTCGGGAGGACCAATGTTCAAAGGCGGATATATGGCAACATCGATTTGTGAGAGCAACTGGTATTGGACATTGCTGTTTGTAAACAACTATACGAAGGAGGGGGTAAGTTCACGGTGTTAATAATTTGAATAATACATAAAATACAGAATGTTTGTTTCAGTGTCCTGGCCATACCTGGTACTTATCGGTGGACATGCAGCTATTCATCCTCTCTCCGATCCTGCTAATATCCCTTTACAAATGGGGCAAGAAGGCAGCAGCAGGAATAGTCGTTCTCATAGTCCTGCTCTCTGGCTGCCTCTTTGCCACGATGATGGTGAATAACTACTCAATGTTGATAAAGTAGGTTCTAAAATCAAGTTTACCTCTGAACATATATTCAAAACTTTCTTTTTTTTAGGCACACGAGTAATAATGCAACGCGGAAGTTGTACTTGGCAACCCACACACACGCTGCTCCTTGGCTAATTGGGTTCCTGTTTGGATACTTTGTGTACTTGAATAGGGGCAAGAAGTTCCAGTTAAGCAGGATAGCTGTGTGGTTGGGATGGATTCTCTGCCTGGGCATGATCTTCACATCGATATTCGCCCTTTATCCGGATGCAAAATGGAGTGATCCTGGTCCGTCTACGCTGGCAGAGTCCTTCTACTACACTCTCACTCGAGTGGGCTGGCCATTGGCCCTTTGCTGGGTGGTCTTTGCCTGCATGCAAGGATACGGAGGATTGGCCAACAGTTTCCTTTCCTCCCCGTTGTGGCAGCCACTGTCGAGACTCTCCTACTCCGTGTATATGTGGCATATGTTCATTCAGGAGATAAACGTTAGAAGTGGCCGAACGAATTCCTACTTTTCGGAATACAGAGTGGTAGGTTTTAACAACTTTCGAAAATGTTAGTTGTGGCTCTTAAATATTGTTATGTTTCTTTCCTCAGATGCTTGCATTCTGGTCCACTTTTGGCCTCACACTATTGTTTTCCTATTTTATGCATCTAATCATAGAGGCGCCCTTTGGAGGACTTGACATTTTCCTAAGGCCCAAACCTAAAGTCCCTGCTTCCATTAAAGCAGAGCCAGAGGTAGTGAAAGATCAAGGGAATCAAATAGAAGAAAGTGGAATTTCTAACAAAACTCCTGCCGCATTTGTTGCCGATTAAAAGTACTCCCAATATGCAGCTAGCATGTAAATAAATGTAATCTATTGTAGGTTCAATTAATGAGTATCCTTTTGTGATTACCAACACCTTGGTCTATGGCCAGTTTGTGGAAGCCTCGTCACTGACTGAGTAAGACATTTATCTATGCACTTCGGCACTTCCGGCTGCTGGTGGAGCACCCACTCACATAGGAGTCTCGTCCTCGTCACTTTCTGGTTGCATGTCCTGTGGAAATTTAAGGCTTGAAACAAATGGAGAACTTCTTGACTCGCGTCGACTTCGCTTAGCCCGATGCCATAAAATACGTGCCACTGCCACCGGCATTGCAACTGCAACTGCCACTGCTCTTGCCCCTTGCCCTCGTTGCACTGCAATGAGAACGAGTGTCTGCCTGGCCGACAAACCGATCCGGATCCGGATCCGAATTCGAATTCCCACTGCGCATATTTTATGGCAGTTACGCGGCTCCCGGGCAACTTAATTAGTACCTGCTGGTGCGCTCCAACTCCGGTTTCAACTTCCAGTTCCCTATCCAATTGCACTGGAGCTGCCACTGCCACTGCCATTTCCACTTCCATCTCCACTTCGATTGCGGCAGGGACAGCTGCATTGCACCTGACATTTAACATTATTACGCGGCACCTCCGGCGAATACCGAATGAGTTGGCGGCCATTACAGGCAGCGCCTTAAAGTGGCATTTCGGCGCAACTCGCGTTTAACCGGTGTTAAGCTTAATGTGCACCGCGTTGATGCCGCTGCCACATGGCGCTCCCCCAGGAAACGGGCAGCCAGGAGCAGCAGGGAGCAGCGAGCAAGGAAAGCCAGACATTTGTATAGGGCTATACTAGTGCTGTCAATTGAAGAAAACAAAAAGGTGATAATCCTCTGAACATTTTATAAAAATTTTAACAATGAAAATATCTACTCAAGTGGCAGATCTAAAGAATGTATTTATAATTCCAAAAATATATATAATTCTCCTATTCAATTCAATTTAAATAAGTTCTGCTTTGGTTATATCAAAGGTGGGCATCACTGTCGGCTCAGTGGCATTAACGTGTTGTGACTGCGCGAGGGGTTGCGTGTTCGATTGCAGTTGCTTGCATTTAATGGGTTAAGGCACACTTCTGTTTCTGTGGGTGGATCCGGACCACTTACGACTCATTGAATGGCCCCGTCTCCAGTCCACCCGCAATTGAAAATCGATCCGGACAGTGAGGGCTCCGTATAAGCACTTTTTTCGATACATCTAACGAGTCCTGTGACCCTGCAGACCCACTGACCATAAGCTCTTGTAAGAGCCACAGTAATGAGCTCCGAGAAGGAAACAGCCCCCGGAGTGGACTTTGACAGGACTACCAATTAGCAAAGGAGTCAACTGCTCATGTAAACATTTCCCGATTTAACTTTCGGAATTTGTGCCGCTTTTGCGAGAGCAAAGAACAAAGTACAAAGAACTTGTGTGCACATTTGTGTTTATTATTGTATAAATCAAAAGATAAAGTTGCACACAAAGTTCCTGTTCCGCTCGCTCTGTTCCTCCTGCTCCTCCTCCTCCTCCGGGGATCACCGGGACTCGGTTGGTTAGGTTCTCCGACCGGGCCAGGCTCCTCCGGCTGCTCCTCCTTCGTGTCCTGTTTGCATGCAGAGGCGCAGTACGTAAAGTAAACGAAATGCACACACACACACAGAGAGTCTCATGTTGGGCTCGGGTCGTGCATGTTTGTGGCATTATAAAATATATCTGGGCAACAACAATGGGGAGCTCCAACTACTCTATACAATCCCTTCCTCTCTTGCCAACTCTCTGCCCAATTTCAAAGTCGGCAAATGGCAAAATGGCGATCTGGCTACCTAACCTGCTGCTGCTGCCCGTTGTACTTTTTGTTGTTCTTGTTGTTGCCGCATTTAAATGCCAAACTTCACCGGACATGCTTCATAGCTCTAATTATACATGCGCCTTCCTAGGAACGCCTTCCGTTGTTGGAGCAATGGAAAGAAAAAAAAATCCTATATAGCCAAAGGAAAACAACAATGGGAGCCCAAAGAGCAATGGCTCTCGTTATTGTTGATGATACCCCTTAAAGGACAAGGGGTGTATTGTATATAAGTAAAAGACGTTATAGATTGGTTTAAGTATTTAAAAAGTAACTTTATATTATAGATAACTTATTTATGGATAGTTAAACCCAAGGGGTAGGTTTTTAATGTAAATTAGTGGAGTGCAGGGTATTCCCATAGTCGAGATACTGAGCCTGCAGCCATTGCTGGGGGAAGGGGGACTGGTTGTTTGGTCCGTTGGACTTCTGCCAGGCAACGCGTCGTATGCGCAACGTGAGCTGCTATTTTTCTAACCACATACAAACACACACACACACACACATGGACAGGGAGATTGGATGGGTGTTTGTTTGAGGCATTTTCTTTTTATATTTTTTTATGTATTTGTGTGGGAAGGAGACAGCGGCTTTTACTTAAGTCAAAACCCCGGACCATTCGGCCCGTACAAGTTTGCATGTCTGCTTAGCAATTCATGGAGGGCAAGGGAGAAGCCGTCACTCTTTTGATTTGATTAGAGCCCCTCCACACACACTCACCCACTGGTACCGACAACAATGAATTTATGTAAATTCTGGCAGCATAAAATATGGCATTAAAATTTAATGTGCAGCTCAGAGCACGCAGCAAAACGGAGTTGGTAGGAGAAATAAAGACATTATGCTCGAGCTGAGATTATATAGGCTGTCCGACGGATGACCAAATGAGTACAATTGCCAAAATGCAAACTTTCATTAACGCGGCCACATTAGCGCGTTGGCCTTTGGAGGCAGCGTCTGGGCCTCTTTTATAAATCACTTCATTGACATTTTTTACGAGGCGTTACTTTGGAGAAGGCGTGGAGGAGCGGAGGGTGTAAAACTTTGCGGGAACAAAAAAACATGTTCGAAGTCTGGACGAAATGTCTGAGCCTGCGGCCCTTGGAGGCGGAGTGAGGAGCCGTGCGCCATGGCCCTTGGCCAAGATTGACGCGCCGCTTACGTGCCACGGAACCATTTGTCTTGGTGCCGCACTTTGCGTGTCTTAATTAGCGCCCCATCCCCATCCCGCACCTCCAGATGCCACTGTCCCAGCCGCACCTCCTTTTGCTCCTCTTCGGCAGTCAAATAAAACCGCCAAGAAACTTTGCCGACGCCAAGTCGAGGCAGGAATTTATGTATCCCAGATAAGAGTTCACTGATAAGACAATGGGATCCCAAGCCTTGGCCTGTCTTTGGGCTGAGTTATTGTAAAAGACGCGACATGCTAATGAACTCCGCAAAAGGAAAGGGCCTCTAAGTAGAGCACAAAAGGAAAGTTTTATTTTTGGGACAAGAAAACGTAATTAGGACGGCTCTGTGTTTTCGTCAATTTATTTAAATCGTACGACTTTATTATATGGCTTCCTTAGAAACGATAGGGAAAATAATAAACTATAATTATAGTTTCGCTGTTTATTAATATTTATTTAATATTTATTTGCCAACTTTGAAATATAAGTTATAGTTAAAGCAAATTGGATCATATTTCCAGGCTTAGGTCAAAGCTGAAAGCTTTTTGGAAGTGGCCAGCTTATACGGATGCCATTGTTTTCGCATTCTCTCCTCTCTCGCCTGCAAGCCGAAGCATCTTCGCCTTCCATTATCATAGATCGACCTCTCTCGAAAGTTCTCCCCCTGACCGACCATCGTAAATCAGTTTCTCCCAAGTCGGCGGCCAGACCGAAGGAAACAAAAAAAAAGTAGATCTGTGACAGTAAAACTTAAAAACTTACGACGCAATAGTAAAGACAGGTGCCAAAAGTGTGAGTGAAACAAAAGTAAAGTGAAAAGTATTAGTGAAGTAATTGAAAGAACAGACTCTGTTGTGTTTTATTATAATTTATTTTATTTTTCTTTTATTTTTGTATGTGAAAGTGAAAAAGAAAGAGTATTAAATCAAGAGCAAAGTGAAAAGAGTTATTTAATTAGCATACCCACAACAGAGGCCTGGCACCTGTCTCGGTTTTTTTTTCTACATAGCCAAGACAAGACTATTTAATATTGAATTTCATTTTCTGGCAAAGACAATTTTTAAATGTGTGCCATGCCTTCAATTAGGAAGGTTAATTCACCGTTGGCATCGACCAACTAATGTTAATGGGTGAGTGAAACAAAAGTATTTTTTTCTTGCTCTTCTTTTTGTCTTTGCAAACCCATTTTCTTTCCCTCCCTCTCTTGTCACTGAATATCTGTTTCTTAAGAACCTGAGAGGTGGAACCTAAGAGCGGGAGAGCGACTTATAGATTATGATCCACTCTTGTGGCTGCTAAGTTTGACAGTTAGAAAAGCTGCCTTTGTTTACCTTTTTTTCTGGGCAATTTGTGAATATAAAAAGCCATCAAAACATATTAAATCCTGACTTGTATAATTATCTTTTTCTACCTACCCTTGCAGGGTATGATTATCATATTATTTTAATCCGTTTAGTAGATAGAATTCCATTTTGAAATATAGTTAAGTTTTTTTTTTTTTTAATAGGTATGTGAGCAACAAATATTCTCTCTTCAATTTTACTTGATTAAGCTGTAAACACTGAACATTTTCGGGGACACCTTTAAAGTTACTCTCGTGATATTAGCTTTAAGAGCTCTCTGTGCTACCAACAATGTTTCTGGCCATTGTCCTGGTGCCTTCATTAGATACTCTCCGGCTCAGGTGGACAGCTGCTAGCTGATAAGCCCGCGACTGCTAATTAAAGCCTCGCACTCCGCTCCCGATGCCCCTGCCCCTGGCCGAGCGTATGCAAATCGTGTAAATCAGAGAGTTTAGTGCCACTGGCCATTGGCCGTGTCCCGCCATAAGCTGCCATATTTAGTTAAGTAATCAGGATTTTTGTGGGTGGGGAGTCCGAGGGGGGTCCGAATTCTGTTGACTGGGCCAACAAAAGAGTTTCGTGCCCCGGGACTAGCCAGCTGGGCTTGTATTTTGTCGATGACATTGTTCCCCGCCACCAGCTACGTGTGTGTGCGAGTGTGTG